ACCGGCTCCACCGGCGGCGGCGGGAGCACCAGCAGCTCCGACGCCGTCTCCTCCCGGGGGACGTCCACGACGGCCTCTCCAGGAACCAGGGTCATACCGTGAAGGGGTGGATCTGCTCCTCATAATAATAGCCACCACCACCGCCACCGCCACCACCGCCGCCACCGCCAGCAACCGGACGCCAACCCCCATGAGCCGACCCAGACCGCCCCGCAGCACCCGTCGTGGAGACGGCCGCCGCCGTGGTGTATTGCAGTGGTGTCGATTGCGACACGAGCAGGAGCAGGAGAGGTTCCCGGAGGGTGGGGTTGAGGGTGGAGGGTAAGGAGGCGGCGGCCGAGGGATGAAGAAGCCACTGCCAAAATTCTCGCGCCTCAAAACGAAGAGGCTTCCACCTTTCCCTCTTACATGGGCCGGGCGATATCTAGCTCTCTTCCCCCAACCCCCCAACCCCCCCACACACGGACACACGGACCGAAACCCAAACATTTCCTCACACACACACAGACACACACACAAAGACACAAAGACACAAAGACACACACACATACAGACACACAGACACAGACCCCGCTCCACTCACCCAATGTTCCCACATTCGAACAAGTGGCCAGTTGCTTGAGGCGAAGCCACGCCCGCCGTAGCCGACCAGGCTTGCGCCGCCGCGGCGGCGCCGGCAGCTGCGGCTGGTAGCCCGTGCTGTAGCCGCCGCCGCCGCCGCCACCGTCGCCGCCGTCGCCAGCCTTGCCGCGTCCGTAATTCTGACCCATACTCATGCCTGGAGCCGTTCCCGCTTTCTCTGACTGCAGCCGCTGGAAGCTGCCCTCGGCAACGGAGCCGCCACCGCTGTTGTGTCGACTGATCGTTCGGCGGGCGGCTTTGGCGGCGCCGCCAGGGGCAGTGGCCGCCGTCGACGGCGGCTCCGTCGGCGTCGCCGTACGAACGGACATCAAGAAGCCGCTGTTGGCTATGATGTGCGTCAGAGGGCGAGGGGACCTCCTGGGGCCACTGGCGTCGTCTTCAACCCCCTGACCCCGCCGCTCGCGCCAGTCGTCGACTCCGCCGCCTCCGCCGCCGCTACCGCTACCGCAGCTAAAGCGAACGGCCCTGTTGCCGCGCCGCGTAGCCCCGAGGGCCTTGTTGGTGACGACGGCAGTTCCTTCTTCCGGCGGGAGCTGCTCGACCGCGGTGGCCGTTGCAGATCCGAGACCGCCCGGTGACCTAACCGCCCTTGTTGTGCGTGGTTTCTCCGCCTGTGCCTGCTCCTTCTCCTGCTCCTCCCGGCCCCGTTGGCGGCCTCCCCTCAGCGCCTCCGCTTTCTCCTCAGCCTCGCGGCCGCAGCCGGTAGTCTTGACGGTGTGGGCGCTGCTGCGGTGTGTAAATTCTGCGTTGTCCTTGTTCAGGTGCTTTCTGGGGCTGAAGGGTCCTGGGGTAGCGGGCGAGCAGGTGGACAGGGAAGCTGATGGCAGCGCTGCGGGGGAGGCGGAGGAGGCGGCGGGGGTGGAGGTGGGGGCTGACAGGGGTGTTGGCGGCTGACGCGCTGATGGCTGCTGCTGTTGGCGGAAGCTGTGCGGCGGGCCTGCGGGTCCTTTCCCGTTGCGATCCGTTACGATCCGTCAGGAGAGAGGTTGGGAGAGTGGGAAGTTCGTTACTAGGAAACCAATAAGGGAACCGAACAGGGGGGAAAGGGGAGACGAGGGTGACGAACCCGTAACAAAGAAACGGGCGGGCAGATAAAAATTGTATTTATTCGGGAAAACATTTCTAGGCTGGTCGCATGAATGGAAATAAATTCTAATAACGTGTACATATATGTATGTGTGTGTGTGTCTTTGTGTGTGTTACATGATTGTGGGGGATGCGTACCCCGTACCTGGTAACAGCCCAAAGTGATCTAAAGGTTGTATGTAAGGAAAACGTGTATTTGCAGAAGATGGGCAAAAAGATTGGCAGGACAAATTGGCAAACAAACGACACTCTTTTCAAGTTCAACTACTACTACTACCAGGTACTTCATTCGATTTTAGCATCGTACAGTCGAGTAGTAGTGACGGTGCGGATGGTCGTTGGCGCGACTTCGTTGGCTTCCTGGCCTATGTGCGCCGCGATGTATGCAAGTATGTGTGATGCGGCGAACTCGCAGATCGATCGAAAGGCCGACAGCTAATTTACTGCTGCTGCTGCAGTGCTAATACTCCAGTGGCTCTGCTTTTTGAGAGCGTTACGGGGTTGTTTCGGCGTTTGTGGGCGGGCGTTTTGTTTCGTCGAAGGCGAGCGGGTGCCTTGGATTGAAGATGAAAGTGCCGCCTGTCTCAAAACTCTCTCCTTGGATGTGCAAGCGAGAGACAATGTACATGTGGGGCATACATCGGGATATCCAGTCCTTTTCCTTCCTCACGCTCCCCTCTCTTCTTTTTCCTCTCTTCTCCTCTTTGCGCGATTCCTCCTCGCACCATCGCACCACCAAATGCCTCTGCACGCCTACTGTGTGAGATCTCGCTCGCTGCGAGTGAGTTCTCTCCCAGCAGCAGATATGGCGACGCACCCATTCGAAGTGGCTGCCCCGAGCGCAATCCTGCAGCTGTTGCTGGCAAGAAATGGAAATCACCACTCGCGGCGGCGTCGGAGTCCGCAGTCCCACTGAAATGAAGCTGAAGGAAGATGTCGAAAGCCAAGGCGCGTACTATGTTCTTGAAGTACTGAACAAGCAAGTTCTAGCATAAGATCCCAAGAATACAACAGCGCGGTGATGACCTTAAGGTTCCCTGAAGGGTTCAGGAGCTTCGCAGTGACCCGGATGTGATGGGGCGCTGGCTGACGCTTGAATAAGACTGCTGTGTCTCAGGGTGCTTTGATGAAGGAGAAGGAATGGGGTGAGCACCATCAGCTCGTTTGAGTGATGCGTTGCTTTCATTTCACGCGTTGCTTTCCACAGTCTCTTGACCCCGCTAGCTCGCCTGTCACCAACAGCAGGTGGGAGAGGCTGCTTTCCAAAGCTTTTCCACGCACCTTAAAAAAGTCGCACTGGCTTGAGCTCCTGGTATGATATCCACACAAGTTGAAGGTGTCCGTTTGTTGGGAGGAAATATTCCCCAGGCTTTGTGACGCTGAGCTGTGGTTGAGACAAATGCGAAGGGCTATCCAGATGCCATCAGTGTTAGCACCACAACGACAACGACAACGACAAGGAAGGGCTGCGGCTTTATCATGCCGGTTGCGTCTGTGGGTAGAAGGTGCTCTTCCACTTTTGTATGAAATCTTTGGTGGCAACTTCATGCGTCCTAAAAGTTACTTCACCTATTGCCTGCAACTTTCGCTACTAAGCCGCGGACCCACGGGACGATGTACGGCTATGATGTAAGAGATACAGGTTGTGTCTGTTACAGCGTTACAGTGTGACCCGATCGGGACGACTGCAGTGCTCCAAAACAGACGCCTCTCGCACAACACTGAGATACACGCAGCGCAGCCTGTGGGGGGAAGCTCATTCGCCGTACGTTCCTACAGAAAGATACTGCCTCCCCTCTCACTAGATTAAAGATCCTACGCTGCTAATCCGAAACTGTAAGGATGCATAGGAAGTAAACACGATGAATGACTCTGACAACAGCAACACTGAGAAGAACATTGTTGAACCTATCCATGTCGTAGTCGCAGGGAGCACAATTGCTGGCATTGGTAGGTAAACAATATTTGTCTGTTAGCTATCTGAGCGCAGTTACGATTTTCCCGGGCAACCGAAGATACACTCTGAAGATACACTCTGAAGCATCATCTCTGCAGGCGCTGTTGTCACAGCCACCCTCACTTATCGCGCTGGTACAAAGGAGTGAGTATCGAGTATGTGATTTTATTGTTTTTCCGGCGACCATATCGTGGTGCGTAATGACAAAAGTTGCGTTCGTCGGGGCGCAGTTTGATTGACGACGGAATAAACCCAGGCAGCAGGTTGCGTATAATTCCAGTCGCGGTGAGACGTTCGACGTTTGCCTCGTTAAGGCACATAACCGCGGGCTGTCATAATTCACAGCTTCGTTCCATCGTAGGCGCGGGCGCTTGCACTTAGCACTGTGCTAACAGGTTTGCTGGGGTTCACGGGCTACTATGTTCTTAAGGAGCAAGGCTTTTTTAGTACTGATCGGGCGGAGCTTCCTTCTGTAAAGGAGGCTGCTGACGTCCTTCGTAACCCACGGGTACGTGTAGGAATCGGGGGTGTTGCAAGGGGGCCCCGGCGGTGCCTGTCATGCGATGTCGGATCAGTGTTTTTTGGCAATTCCTCTTCTGATCAGTTTGGTTATCTTTTGCTGTCGGTTCAGGCACGGCATATGGCCTTGTTTCAGGCTAAAGTTGAGCTTCCTTTAGGGGCAGTACCTGTGTTCCTTTCCCTTCCGTCCAAAATATGCCTCCTTAGGCTGCTCTCCATTTGCGGCACAACACCGCAGGACTTTATTAGTCAGTTTTCAAGGAGCACCAACGAGAGAAAATGTGGACAAGATAACAAGCTTTCCCATTCAAGCACGGCCTAAGAGATTAAATAACCAGGAATGCTATCATAACGTCCACATAGAGGGTCACTTTCCCACAAGCTTGGTGGAATATGGTCGCCAAGTAGTAGCTTCCGTCTTATTTGTCCATGTAATGGAAACGCTACGGTTGTCACTCCAAATCTTGTGTCATCATCAGCATGTTATTTGCACCAACGAGGTTCGGGTATATTTCTTGATTCCTACTTTATCGCATCGCAGCAAAAGAGGACACGCTAAGAATCTTCGGGCATCTTACTGTATACTTCTAACAGAATGATTTACAATGAAATTAAACTCCATCGAGCAATGCGATGAGTTGAAGAAACGACTCCGCGCCGTACCGGCTCCAGGGGGCCTCACCTTTGACGTCGCCCGCGCGACCGAATATAGCGGTAGGAGAGCCTTGAAACTTCCCTTTTAGCATAACCTACGAGACATCTCGGTGGCAGAGTCCTCCAGAGGTTGAACTCCTCAATACTCTTACCTGATCTCGAGGTGCGACTGTTGGCGGCGAGGTGTGGTCGGCGTATCCAGCGATTTTGGGTTCAATTTCTTTGTGCTGCCTCATCTTAAGTCTCCAGAGCCTCAGCGTGCGACTCAGCGCATCCACTTTGTCAGTTGCGTCGGCGTTGCGCCGATCTTCCACCAAAGCCTCGGAGAGGCAGACGCCCAGGGCAATGCTTGCCCGAATATGACAATTAAATGAATCATGGGCAAGTTAGTTGCGTCTGAGTACCTCGATGTACTTGGGCACTCCTTCAAAGTTGGCGGCGATAGTCAGTGCTTTCAGCGCTTGGACCCTTTTTTTCATGTACTGCTCTGGTGATATCCGCAATTTATAAACGATTCTATTCCTTGGCCTGTTCTCTGCTGCGCAGGTTTAACAAAAATGTCTGAGGGCAAGGAGCATTTGTCCATCGTCATGTAAGCATCGTGTAAAGAGTTGTTCCGCCCCATTGAATTACTAGCTTCTCCTGCCAGCACCCAAATGACTCCATTCCTTTGACTGTGCAGTTGCGGCCATGTCGACTCTGGCAAGTCCACCACCACGGGCCGCCTGTTGTTCGAGCTCGGCGGTATCCCTGAGCGTGAGCTGGAGAAGCTGAAGGAGGAGGCTGCTGCCCTTGGCAAGTCCTCGTTCGCCTTCGCCTTCTACATGGATCGCGCCAAGGAGGAGCGTGAGCGTGGTGTGACCATTGCCTGCACCACCAAGGAGTTCTTCACGGAGAGGTGGCACTACACCATCATCGATGCTCCTGGTACGTGCATTCAGTGCTTCCATGGTGATGGGTGACCAATTTGTTGATTAGTTAGAACTTATGGGAGGGGTGGATGGGTTCAGCTTGCCCTTCCCGGAAGGGTACGGCTGGCGCATTGGCAGCAATGTCTTGTCATGCTTTATAGCCTCCCCGTTTCGAATACACTAAAGGTACACACTCCTTTCAATCATTATGTTCTTGCAGGTCACCGTGATTTCATCAAGAACATGATCTCTGGTGCTGCCCAGGCTGATGTGTGCCTGCTGATGGTGCCCGCCGATGGTAACTTCACCACCGCCATCCAGAAGGGTGACCACAAGGTGCGTTGTAATGCTCGATCGGGTTGTCACAATACGGCCATCAAACATTTGAATATAACTTCGTGTAAGTTGCGCTCACTTTTTCACGTTTGGAAACTCGTAGGCTGGTGAGATCCAGGGCCAAACTCGTCAGCACGCTCGCCTGATCAACCTGCTGGGTGTGAGGCAGCTGATTGTGGGTGTGAACAAGATGGACTCCGATACCGCTGGTTACAAGAAGGAGCGCTACGATGAGATTGCCAACGAGATGAAGCACATGCTTGTCCGCGTCGGCTGGAAGGAGGACTTCGTGACCAAGTCGGTGCCCATCCTGCCCATCTCGGGCTGGCTCGGCGACAACCTCATCAGCAAGGTGCGTGTCTCCATTCCTCCCTCCCTGGGTATCGACCTTTGATTGAAGCTTTAAACTTAAGAACGACAGGGGTAGTCATAAGTGTTTTGTCTACTGTCGAAACATAAACCCTACGCCCCTTTTATTTCTTGCAGTCCACCAACATGACCTGGTATACCGGCCAAGAGGTTTTGAACCTCAAGAACGAGAAGGTCAAGGTGCACACCCTCCTGGATGCCTTGAACGGCTTCGTCACGGTGCCGGAGCGCAAGACTGACGCCCCCCTGCGTCTGCCCATTTCGGGCGCGTACAAGATCAAGGGTGTGGGTGATGTGCTTGCTGGTCGTGTGGAGCAGGGTGTCGTCAAGCCCGGTGATGAGGTTATTTTCCTGCCCACTCACACCACCGCTAACCCGTGCACTGGCAAGGTGTTCACCGTGGAAATGCACCACAAGCGTGTCGACAAGGCTGGCCCTGGCGATAACGTCGGCATGAACATCAAGGTTAGTGCTCTCCAGCTCCTTGTGATTATGTTGAATTGCTTAGATGTATTATCTGAGAAGTATCTTCGTGTATATGCAGGGTCTGGACAAGGGCAACATGCCACGCACCGGAGATGTGATGATCCTGAAGTCCGACTCTACCCTCAAGATCGTGAAGGATTTCACTGCCCAGATTCAGACGCTGGATATTCCCGGCGAGGTCAAGAAGGGCTACTCGCCCATCGGCTTCGTGCGCTGCGGTCGCTCCGCCTGCCGTATGACGAGCATTGACTGGAAGGTTGGCAAGGAGACTGGCGGCAAGAAGATGGAATCGCCTGTTGGCCTGAAGGCTAACGAGATGGCGCAGGTCGTGTTTGAGCCAACCCAGCCCCTCATCGTGGACTCGTTCAAGAACTGCGAGGGTCTGTCCCGTATTGCCTTCCTGGACGGCAACACTGCCGTCATGCTTGGCAAGGTGGTGAGCGTCACCCACAAGTAAATGGAGTTGTCTTAGTGCTGGATGCTTGTGGGATTTTTAAGACGTTTTTGCTGTGACGTTTCGCATTGACGTGTCTACCGCGACATTTTAATTTCGTCAGTTTTGCGGATGTTCAATGAGAGGGCCGCCTCATGGCCCGCAGGAGAGAGTTCAGACCTAAAACAGAAAATATGATTTCGCTGTAAATACATTGTAAACGTCATGGTACATTGAGGTTTATGTTGTTGTTACATGGTCGTGGGTGCGTTCCCCGTACCTGGAAGTCACCCTAATACGAGCCGAGAGCTCAAGTGCTGCCAGATCGCCTGCACTTTAAACGAAACAAATGATGAAGGATACTGACAGCTAAAGGGAACGATAGAGTTGCGGTGGAACCATGTACGTGCCAGGCGTTAGGTTCCCTGTTCATAGCGTCCTTGTGCTCGAAGCGTGGGAAATCCATGACTGATTTTGCCGTACAATGTGCTTCTCATTATTAGTCCCGCAGCAAGGGGACACTCGCTCCTCACTAGTTATACAACGCTGTCCCTTATTTGCTCTGTTTGCCACCAGTGTCCAGCAGCGAAGCCTAAACTGCATAAGCTTGCAATTCGCTGAACGCGGGATAAACATTGTGATATGCGGGAGCGCCTCCTTCCTGCAAGCTTGTTCGGCCGCCAGACCCATCCAATGCTTCGCCATGTGAATTCCTGGTTGCTTGCCGTCTGACGGCTACATGTCTGGCTAGACATCTGAACGGATATGCTTTCACTCACTAATCGGTCCTTGAACTCCAAAACCACACCTGGCATTGGCCTGTTCATCAGCCACTCCACTCGTTCGGCTACCTCGTGTAGTAGCCCTTGCGGGGCCTCTTTCCATACGTCGTGCCCCAGAAAACATAGAAAACGGAGGAGTACTGTCCCCCATCCGGCCCCTTCGGGTTTGGAGAGGGACTCTGCGACCTCCTGTCGCAAAACTTGGTGTGCCACAGACCCACGCTGTAAACGGACACGGTTCCAAAACCTCACAACCTGCTTGAAAACGTGGTAATGTAGGGGTAGCTGCGACAGCTCTGCAAACAGAGGCGGTGTGTTGGTCTGGCAGCTCCTACAATTTGTCGCGTGAAGGATATCTGAAGCTGCACTGCTCTGTCCTGTAGGCATGCCTCGAAGCAAAGTTACTCGCATCACTCCGCCTCCTGTACAATTCATGTCACTGATTACATAATCTAAACATCTTGCTAACACGAAACAATCAAACTCTTCACGGCAACCTTGCTTACATTACTTGGTCTTTCGTTTTTTTCTATTCTATTCGTCTACAATTATAATACACATCGGAGGTCTTTAGATATCTACAATCACAAACAGTTCGGCATCATTCTCCCGCTCCTTAATCGACATGGCGCTGTAAGTGATGGCCTTGATCTCAGTGCCAACCTCGTGAATATCTCGATTGAACGCCTCACCCACCCTGGAGAAGGGGGAAGCAGGATGGTGACGTAAGGTTAAATAGTAAACGACACAGGCAACCCTGACAAGAACGAGTGTATCCATGCACTCCAGGTGAAGGAAGTGAAGTTGAATTCAGTCGTGAATTTCGTTACGCTCCTGTGCGAATCCTGCGCACGTCCGGGGTCTTGGCATGGAATAACACGGCAAACCCCCCTTGCACTGTCTTTAGCGCACTCGCCCCCACCATCCCCACTCTCAATCCATGGGCCCCCTGTTAATGATTTCCTCACCCCTCCGCCTCTATGACAAAGCTGGTGCGGTCAAAGCTCTGAATGTGCACCTCCACAGCCAGGAAGAGCTCCGTGGCAAAGACGAACAGTAGCTCGTCCAAAAAGGAAAATAGCAGGGACGGCAGGTCGTGACCTTCGGCGCGGTAAGACCTGTTGGAATGCCCAGAAGCTTGTAGGTGTTACGCGATACATGTTAAATCCGCTCTTTATTTAGGCTGCTCAAGGGCGGTGGAGTCCCATCTAGCAGTGAAGGCCAGCAGTGGTAGGAGGTAGGTAGGCGGGTCCCCCTTACCTGTCCTCCCCACCCCACTCACGCAGCCCCCACCTAGTTTCCCTAGGTCGTACATGCTCCAGGGGGGACATGTAGTTGAACATGGCCAGAGCGCAGTTCTCAAATGCCTCAGTCAGGTTGTTGCCCCCTGCGGCATGTGGGTCATATATACATGTATTCAAGAGCCGTGTGCTTACAGAGTGCGGTTAACATAGCGAAAGCATGGAGCTGTGGGCCGTTCCCACAGCACAGCATGGCGCAGTATATTGCAGTACAATTCAAAAACATTTCAAAACACAAAATCCACATGGGACAGCCCTCGGGACTCGGGAAATGCAATGCGAGTCGTACAGCACGCCAGTAAGTTGTTATACTACTGCGCGAGGATTCTGTTATGCCGTCCGACATCGATTCCCAGTTGCGCAGTTTAACGGTTTACAGTGATGGTTTGCCGTACAGCACGTCACGCATTTTAGCACTTAATCAAGCTGTTTTGGCGGTTAGGGTCCTCGTATAGGACCGACGTCATTAGGCAATGAGATTCAGTCTGTAAGTGGTGGGAAAGAGGATGGGCGGCGCCGGCCGCACAACTGCCACGTCCTGCAGCGACAGATGACTCGGGGTTATATGATCGATCGTGCGACGCAGGGCAGCCCCGAAAACACGAAAACCCACACCCTCACCACCACCAGGTGCTCTCCTGCCCGCTGCTGGCTGACTCACAGGCGTGCAGCTGAACATCCGCGGTGTGATCCAGGTCTGCACAAGGGGGACGACGGGGATTTTAAAAATTAGTATGCAGGTTGGAGGGACAGGAAGGAGCCAGGTTGCGGGTGATGGTTTGGATTTGTGGCGCCAAGGCTGGAGCGAAACACCACAGCAGCGGGAAATACAACATTAGGGACAAGGACTGCCCGATTGACATGACAAGTTTTGACAGCATTATTGATAGGAATTAAGGAATCCAAATGACCCACACTCAAACTTGTAGGTTCCCACAGCCGCGGAGCGGTATGGCGGCAGGTTGCCGCCGCCACCGTCGGCTGCCTCATTGCCCGCTTCTCCGGGACCGGCAGGTGGGTATTGCAGCGGTAGCAGCAGCGGATTGGGGACGTCCTCATCCCCGTCCGGTGTCCTTCCCTGGCTTCTTAATGACGATGTCGGGATGTAGTCAGGTTCCGCTGCGTCGCCCATAGCCGTGCCTTGGTCAGGAGAAACACAAATTGCGTTGGGTTCTGAAACGGGGATCAGCCGGCGTCCGCTGCATGCCGTCGTGGTTGCACATGTTGTCTGGTCCGATGACGTAGCTGCTTCGGCCTCCGCTGCGCGCTGCGCGCGCATCCGCTGCCTTGCATTAGGCCGCTGCGGTAATGCGTTCTCATCCATTTCTCAGGATATCAATTAGACTGAGGTTTCGCTTCTGGTGACAATCACCCGAAGTCCTATATCAGACTTGGTGTTCGCCGAGTGTGCACAACTGCCCTTCCGTAACTTGTGAGCGACGCAAGACACAAGGTTAAATCCCAGACACCAGGAACGACAAACCTTCCGTAAATTCGGCCCAGGAAGCACAGTCCCGGAAATGAGCCCTGCAAGCCACCTACTCCATGTAACTCCGAGGCCAGAAGTTAGTACGAAAGCGACGTAACCACGGGATACGCTTAAGCGTTGGTTACAAGTACAACACGTCTGTGCCGAGTAACGTTCTAAATAGAAGTTACATCTTGGAAAATTGTTGAACAGAAAACGCTATGCAGACGAACTACATATTACAGTATATTGCGGGGCGTAACGGGAGATAAAAGGCATCTCATAATCGCAATTTATCAAAACATTTAATTAAGGCACCCTCTCAAATCCCGGGACAAGAAGGCCGTGAGGATGGCAGCTCGCGGATTGCCCTCAATCTCATCTATCGCGAACGCTGTACTCCGCTCACGGGATGGTGCTGAAGTTGTTGCAAGTACACTTTGGCAATCACAGCCACTGGCTGTTCTAATCTTAAGGCGCCCAGGATGCGGTAGGCGAACCGTCGCCGCGCGCGCGTGTGGCTCCCGTTTTGGGGCAGCCTGACCTTCACAACCCTTCGCCTATTTGGCCTTCATTTCAGACATTTCTCTCATGTGTGCTTCCTGACATTTAAAATATGCAGTGTATAGCCGGCCTGGTGTTGGAAAAGCAGTCTGCATTCTAGCGCTAGCGCTTCTGGCATGTGCCGTGTCGTATCCCTTTCTTTCTCCAGGGATCTGAACAATTCTACGATTTGCCGCACTATTTGATTTAGATTACTCACACATACACACACGTGCTTAAATTTCAGGTTGTTTCCCACCCTTGCAGTCCTGTGTCGGGATGAAGCTCAGCGGCTGTGGAAGCTGAAACCCGAGTTTGAACGAATGGGAGTCGGACTTGTGTGCGTGGTTCACGAGTGGATTCCACGGGAGGTGAGTCTCCCCTCCAGTTGGCAGAAGGGAGGCAGCACAAGGGAGCCTCCACTTCTGTCAGCCGGCGGGCGGAAGAGAGCTGCTTCCGGCCCTCGGAGTGACGATTGGTTGTGTCTACAGTCCAATGGCCGTTGCAACAGACAATCCTTCGCTAGAAGGAAGCCTCAAACTGTGGGAATTCAAAATATTTAACGCAAGAATCCAAAGCCTGAATGGATTTTCGCCTGAATCAACTTAACCTTCGCTTTTTTCCTCCTAACCTTCCCCGGCCTCTCCATCCCTGACTTAACACCCCCAACCTTCCCCCCATTCCTCGATAGGTAAACGCCTTCACGTCGGGCTTCTGGCCAGGCCCCTTGTATCACGACCCATCCAAGGCCTTTTACGCCGCACTGAACGGCGGCAACCCTCTGCGCGGCAGCATCTGGGGATTGCTCTTTCCCTGGAGTGCCGTCTGGCGGAGAATCCGTACTGCCTCCCGCAACGTCCCTGAACACAACATTGTGGGAGATGGATTCACGATGGGCGGTGCCATGGTCCTCCGCCGTGGCGGCGGCGGCGGCGGCGGATGCGACATCGGGAGTGTGGCGTGGATGCACGTGGAACGTGATATTGGGTTAGTGGCGGATCCCGCGGCGGTGCTGGCGGCGGCGAGGGAGGTGGCTGAGACCCCCCAGGGAGGGGGAGGGGGAGGGGAGCCTCCGGCACCTGCTCCAGCTCCAGCTCCAGATCAGATGAAGACCAGGAGTCAGGATGCGGATGGGGAGGTCCCTCAGCAGTAGCAGCAGCAGTAGCAGCAGCAGCAGTAGCAGCAGCAGCAGTAGCAGCAGCAGCAGCAGCAGGGGGAGACTGGTGGTCCGTTACCATTTGTCAAGGGGGGGGTGCTTGCATGGTGCTACGGTGGAGACGAGGTGGAGGAGGCTTCCCCCTTGCTTGGGAAGCAGCCCGCAAGTGGAAGCCACGGACCGGACCGCAGTAAGGCGTATGGCGGTTATGGCGCGTCGTGCCTGCCTCTTTAGGGAGGTTTTCGATTTGACTGCTGTGATCTCAAATGTAAGGATTTTATTTCATGGTGCCTGGTTAGCTTGGTGGCAGTGGGCTGCGCATTGCGCACTGGATGTCTGTCGCTTGGGCGGGGGGAACGAGGGAGGAGGTGAGAGGGGCGGGTAGGAGAAAAGCTTCTATTCCGGACAGACAGGCGCACAGACGAACAAAAGATACAGGATGTACGTAAAGCGTTCGAGGGGTGTGGGAGATGTGCCTGTATGCTGGAAGTCTGAGGCCCTGAGGGCCTGCGCGTTCTTTTTTTCATAAAGTCATGATGCAAAATGGGGCAGTCGCTCACGTAGGTGGCGGCTGTCTTCCGTGCATCTTTGTCGCCGCCTCGCAAGCGTATTTGCGTATATATGAACGCAGCCAGAAGGGTGCTACATATATATTCTTTGGCTGCGTTCATTGCTTATTGCTGCTTTCATTTCATTTCATTGCTGTGGCTCCGTTCTTTCTGCGTGGCCGCTCCCTGTTTTGACATGCCAATGATGAGGCGTTTCTTCTTCTCAGGAGAGCATCCTGTATGGTGCGGATGTGGATTCGGTTAAGATCTTCATTTAATTACCAGCTCTCAATTTCAGCTCTGTAAACTACTAGGAGGGGCGAGCCTGGAGGCCACTTTTGCAGACCGGTGATTACGCATTGTGGAGTTTCTTTCAGTGGTTCTTTCAGTGGTCTGCAGCGACACGGGTACGTGCACACACATGCACACAGTCAGGACGTTATGGCAGCACCTTTAACAGCAGAGCAAACCTTCCGGGGCGGGAGGGCCTCCCTAGGGGGCGGGGGGGGGGCGGGTTACCGGGGAGCTGTGGACCGGTCACTGGTGGGTTACGGGTCACGGGACGACAAGAGGGGGGAGGGCAGCACACGGCAGGGCGTTCACGCCACGTTCTCGACGCCCCCCCATATTTGTTAGCCCAATGGGACCGTTCGTGCTTCAGATGTTACGTCACGAGGTTGTTAGCATCAGTGTCACCTTGATAGTCTGTTTGCGCGTCTGTCAGGTATCGTACTGCAGGGTATCGCGCTTCAGAGCGTCGTGGGCAAAACCGCAAAGCTACGAAATGCGCAAAGGTACGAATTGCGCACTGCGGTGAAAACGAAAATGAAAACGCCGTCAGCTCGCGGCCCCGGGGTCGCCAAATTGCGTGGTCATAAAGGCCGTTATTACGTCGCCCTTCCACCATCCAAAAAACCCTAAAGAGAAAAAAAACAGGTTAGTTACAAGTTCCGCAGGAATGTGGGACTGTCCGGGGCAAAGCCCGGGCCCCATGGACTATATATAATGAAAGTATAGTGATATGATAAGCGTCTGGCCGAAGCACTTCACCTGGGTGGCTTAAATGCGGCCCACCTGCCGCCATCTCCATTCCTGGAGTCTTGGTGTCGTACGCTAGGTTGTGATAGCGTAACAGAAAGTGAGTTCGTACAGTTAACGAGTATGGTTCGTAACTACGGGACCGTACCGTTACTGTGATTAAGCTTTAATAGCTTAAAGATATCCTAAGGTAAATGTAGCTTGCTACACCATCTCTCCCTAGGCCTCTTGACGGTAGCCCGGGCGTTACGGTGGTGGCCCGCGCCAATGGCATCAGTGGTCCAGTCGCCCACAAACTTAGGAACTATCTATGGCAGAAGGCTCTGAAGATGGACGCGTTCATTGCGGAACGCCGTACAACCGAAGGTGGTTATGGGTCCCCGGCCCCTCCTCATCCAGTCGCCCAACATACCGGTGGAGGATCCCGCACGCGTCCAGATGGCCACTTTGTCGCATTTCATATACGTGTCACAAGTACTAACATAATTACCTTTTTCTTACGCGTCAAAGAAGATGCCAGCAGTGCACTGCCTAGTTACGCCACCGCCGCCACCGCATTCGCCACGTTATCGCCGTACCGGTTATACAAACACCAAATGTACGATTGGTACCATATCGGCTCCGCCAGGCCAACAGCTTGTCTGATGCCCATCACTGCTCCTTCATTCTCCCCCTCTTGCCTCTTTACCTCCAAAATCATTTCGCACCTCGCAGCCTGCTTTTGCAAACAGCTTTGCCGTTTGCTACCACAACTATGCCTGCTGCTGTATACGGCTCCACCGCACCCCACACGTACCCTTCCCGACGGCTACTCTAATCGTAGCTTCCCGACGACGTATGATATTAAATCATTCTTCTCATTCTGGTGTTTTCGCCCAACTAACAAATTCTCCGTGCCCCTGCTCGGCATCCTGCAGCACGCTATCTACCTACTCACCTACCTGCATACACACCTGCCTATCGCCGTATCAACTACCAGCCCGTCGCCCTAGCCCTCGACCTCGACCTCGACCTCACCTCGCCGGGCATCAAGCAGAAGAGCCGATGGTGCATTGTCAGTGTAGCCCAGCGCCGCCGCCGCCGCCGCCGCCGCCGCCGTCACCGCCGCCAGCACCGCCGCCTCCGCCGCCCTCAGCTGATGACGCCAAGATGCTGTTGAGGATGCGTGTGGTGCGGGCGCTGAAGCGGCGCAGGCGGCCCTGCTCGTCGCGACCCCAGGAGCCCCCCGCAGAGCGACCTGCAACAGATTGACACCGTTGGCGTTTTCTGCTGTCAACAAAAAGGATTTCCGGTTGTTTGTAAATGTTGTCCAGGCATTCGACGGCATTCCTCGCGTGCGGAGGATGGACACAGCGTAGCGATAGATGAGAGGTGTAAGCCGTGAGAAAAGCCGTGAGAAAACATGCAGTACTCAGGGAGTTCAGGGTGGGGGCAAATGCGTGCGAGAACGCGATTCCAAATAATATGCCAAATAATGTGCCAAATAATATGCCAAATAATATGCCAAATAATATGCCAAATGATATGCCACACAACGATAGAAGGCACCGAAGGTACTGAGCTTGCCGGACACGACATGACGGGCCGGACACGCGGCCGACGTCGCTGCTAAACAAATAAACAAAACAAAAGAGTTAAGTGGAATCTTGTTAGGTGGAATCTACGGTCGCGTCCTTGTGCCGGCGGCCGCAGGGGCCGGGTGGGGTGAGGGTTCACAAGGAAGTCACATACATACCTACCTACGTACATACGTACTCTTAAGTCGGAATGGGGCGTGGGGGAAAGACGAACCACACGCGATTGAAGCTGCGGCGTGGGGGCGGGCGAGACCTGGAAACAGCTGGCCCCTAAAGCGCCCGACTTCCCTCCCAATCCTTACCGCTGGCGAGAAGTTTTAGCACACTGGGGGATAGCTGTGCCAGCGAAGAGGCCATGGCGCTACCACCGCCGCCGGCCTCGGCCAGGTGATACTCGCCGCCGCCGCCACCCTCGTCGCCGTCATCCTCATCCTCGAAACCGGCGCCGCCACGTCGCCGCCGAGTGCGGCCCCGTGGCTGCCCCGAGCGCCCCTCCAGGCCCCGCACCTCCCCCGAGCCCTCCAGCATCGCCGCCGCCGCGGCGTTCGCCGTACCGCCGCCGTCGCCGCCGTGGCCAAGGTACGGACTATCGTATGCGGTGCCCTCAGGAATGGTAGTGGTATCGTACAGTGCACCCGCGGCGAGTGCGGCGCCGCCAGTGCCGCGGCGAGTGCGGCGCAAGGGCGTGCGCAGAAGCTCGCCTAAGCCCGCCCCCGCCCGTTTCAGCAAGCCCGGACTGTCCCCACCGCCGCCGCCAGCGGAAGCGGCCGGCTGGCTGACCCCCCAATGTCCTTCCAAGACTCCCCCTCCTCCTCCGCCACCCACAACCCCGCCCTGTGTGTACGGCATGCCATTTCCCTGGTTCTCCTGCCTCCAAAACATCTGTCGTCTCAGCACATCCTCATCACGCGGATCGTACATGTGGCCATAGCCGTACATGTCGACTCGCTCCGCCGGCGGCGGCACCGCTGCCGCCGCGGGGTCCTGCGATGGATCGAACTGACGGCGGCCGCGGCGGCTGCAGGCCGCCGCCGCCGCCGCCGCCAGCATCCCGGTCATCAGGCAGCCCGCTGCGAAGCCGCAACCCAGGCCCTGTAGCCAACCGGCGGCGCTATTACCTCCGCCGCCATGCACCCGGGTCGGCAATAGCTGTAAGAGGTGGACAGTCTTCCCGCTCGCTGGAGCTCCGTGCGCATTATTATAATCCGGACCTGCGCGTCCCGTGGGCCATCGATTGCGGCGGATTGCGGCGTGACGATGACGCCGGACAGCCCGACAGACAGACAGACAGACAGACAGACAGACAGACTGGCGGACGCAAAATGAAGCAGAGAAACGTATTTCACTCATGCGAAATGTAACCCACATATACTTACATACATACAGGTGTAGGGTGCCCCTCTCGCAGGGGAGAGCAGGGACTGCCTCGGGAAAGGGGGCCGCTGGTGAAGCTTAACCACCCTGTAACGACATACATACAGGTGCCGCACCTTGCTCGACTAGGGGAGGACTCAATTACCCCGAGGTAAAAGGTAACGCCGCCCACCTGGTGTCGGATGGGCGCCGTCTTGGTGCTGTCTCCGTGCTCTCGGCCACGTCGAAGAGGACGAGGAGGCGGGCCTTCGTGGTTGCACACCACCTCCACCACCAGCAGCTGTAGACAGCTGATGGTCTGCCGCCGCCGCCGGCGTGGAGGAGCGGCGGCTTGACGCCCCCCGCGGTACCAACGACCCCGCCGCCGCCGGCTGCAACACCCAAAGCTGCATCGCCGGGCAACGGTCGGAAGCGCCACCCCCATACGTCGCAGAGCTCCAGCTGCCTTGGGCAATCGCGTGCGGGAATCGCAGCGCTGCAGGGCAGGTTGTGTCCGAGGCACCTCCCTCCGCCATCCAATGGCGGACGAAGGAGGACACGCACGCCGCTTCCGTCTCCGTGGACTGCTGCGGATGCTGATGATGCTGTAGTTGCGGCAGTAGTTGGCCTTGGCCTTGGCCTTGCAGAGGGCCGGGTTTTGAGCTGGCGGTGAGGAGGGTTGAGGACGGCAGGGGGGACGCTGCCGCAGCGGGCGCCGAGGTTGGCGTGGGCGCGGGCCGCGGCGGCGGCGTTAGCGGCACAGTACGGAAGCTTGCGACGGCCAGGTCCGCCGAGGTGGCGTCCAGAGTGGCGGAGGCGACATAGCCGCCTGCGTAGCGGTATGCGGGGCCCCCCGGCGGCAGGTAACGCGATGGTGGGTGAGGTAGTCATTGTCGCCGGTATTCATGGATGAGAGGCCGAAAGGGAATGGACAACACCACACGACACCACACGACACCACACGATACAAAGGTGGGAAACGGGGAGGAGGAACTGTTCGGCGGAAATAAAGCGTTTTAATGCGGAAAGGAAACGCACCAGCGTGTCTGCTTTCCAATCATTTGTACTTACAATCGCACCCGCCGTACGTGTGCTGCTGAGCTGTCCCTGCGTGCTCTCGTGCACGTGCAGTACTGTACGACAACTAAGCCCCGCCATACACGCCGCGGCCCCTGTCACCTGATGTGTCCGTAGTCGTAACGAAGACTGTCACATGGCCGCCTCCCAGCGGCAGCTCTAACGTCAAGGTGATGCCGTACGGTGGCGGCGGTGGCAGCGGCGCCGGCGACGTCGGCGGCTGGGTCAGTGGCGTCGGCAATGGTTGCTTCCCTTTCCGCTGGCGTTGTCGGCGATCTGAACCGCCACTATGACCACGCGACAACTGGCGCTTGTCGCCATCGCCACCGGCGGAAGAAGATGCACCGCTGGAGCCCGCGACGGCTGCCGGGCGCCACTTGCCGATGGAACAGACGGGCGGCAGCGGCTCCGCCGCCTCCGCCGCCGCGTTAGAGGAGTCTAACGGAGGTTGCACTGCGCCGCCGCCCTCTCCACTTCGGTTAGTCACTGCCACCACGCCCGCTTCAACTGCACCCGATGCAAATCTCATCATGGCACCGCTGGAGAAGACGCCGACGCCGACGCCACTGCCGACGCCGCCAGCGGCGGCGGGACCTGAAGTGGGCTCGAGGTCGAAGAGGAAGGTATACGGGATTCTAATAACAAATGCTGCGTTTTGGTGATTGATATGATCGGGGGGGGGCCCAATGCCCCGCCCAGGTTCAAGCCCTGCATCATGTCCGCCGCTGTAGACACCGCTGTAGACACCGCTGCTGTCCCGGGGCGCCCCGGCAGCACCGCTGCCCCACCCTGGTAGCTCCAACGACTGAGTGGTCTGTGGCGGCGGCGGCGGCGGCGGCGGCCGCCGGTGGGAACTGAATTACAAGGTAAAATACAATGCAATGGAGCTAATGGGTGCTTTGGCGCTTAATGCTCTGGCTGTTCGATGCTCGCTGAGGTTATCATAAAAATGCTTTTCGGCAGTTTGTTCCGCTAGGGTCATCAACAGTATCAATCACCATCAACTGCAAGCTCACATCCATAGCCAGCCAAGAGGAAGAATTCTACAATCTCCAGTCCAGTTGCACAATGGATGAATGGATGATGGATGACTCCAATAACAGATTCAGCTGCCTACCCGAACGACGACGGCGCCGCCGCATGTGATAGTAGCCGTCAGCTTGGCCATTACATTGACCCGTGGGTCGGTCTTTCCACGCTGCGATAGGTTCTGCTGATCCTCCTTCTTCAGAGCCGCCGCGCCAACCCCTCCTCCTACTTTTCTTCCTCCTCTTCCCCCGCCGCCATCGCTATAGTCAGGTCCTTGTCCACGTTCGCTCCCTCGTGGATTCCCGGCTGGTTTTTCGATGCCCGGCCCCAAGTCACTACCACGCGGAGGAGTGGGTTGGCTTGAAGGAACTGCCGACGACTGCGAAGAAAGCACTTGGTGGTGTTGATGCTGGGGACGTGAAAACTCGGTGCCAAGCAGGATGTCTCTGAATTGCGAATTAATGTGCGAAAGAGCGCAGGAGCGAGAAGAGCGGAAAACAGCAATATGGGGTTGAAGTGTAGGCTTAGGGCTCACAGAAACGATGCAGTTCAACAAGGGAATGTGTGGGAACAGGGGAAACAGAGAAGGAAGAGCCATACGAGGCCGCTCCTAACATACGAGGGCAGATTCCTAACATTCCGGTTCCGCGTAAAATGCCGAGGGACTTTAATAAGTTGCCTCTGTCAATTTAACGGCCGTCGCAGGCGCTCGATAAGGGATGTCCCTTTTCCTGTAAAAAGAGAGACGACAAGAGACAAAATTGACCGACGCACCCATGGAGGAGCAGAGCCTGGTTGACTTGCAAACGAACAGGCTCGGCGCGGTTTGTCACATCAACAGGACGCTGTTTGTCGTTGACTGCCCCAGCGCGGGTCAAAAGAAGACACGCTTGGAAGAGCAAGGCCGCAGCTGATGAAGCCACCGTTCTGCCAGCCCCAAACCTTCTTCCCATTCTAACGGCGCCTTTTACGTTTGTGAAGTACGTTGGCTCATGTGTTAGGATGATGCTAGCGACAACCTGGACTTTGAAAGTTCAAAAAATGCTGCGTACGGCAGATAGGTCCTCATGCGGCCTTTTGGCGCGCATCCAACCCGGGGTGGGGATAGAGAAATGGAGAAAGGGCTCGTTATTACAACGCGCCCGTTTGACTTGAAGTATGTGATATCCCCGCCTCCTAACGGGCACATGCACACAGCTTGAGGAACAACAGGCAAAGGACGGATGGAATGGTAAAAGACAAGCCATTCAGTAACCGCTGCTACGTTGTTACACTTTTGCATCCAGCGCTTCGTTTGTGAGGCGCTGTACGTTGTTTTCTGTACTTGAGCTTTTTCATATCTTCCCTTCATACTTACATGTAAAACGTGCCTGTCGCTACTTTATAAAATGTACTGAAACCTGCTTTGAGCGCCGAACGGCTCACTTCAACAAGAGACCTGTTGCTCTGCAAGCTACAGAGGGAAATCGCGTCTTTTACACCGACCCACGGGTCGCCAACCGCTGCCGATAAAATATATAGTTCGGAACGCGGAAATTGACCGCGGCCACCGCATGGGTTCAGAGCTTTGGACGTCCTAACCAAACTTGAATGCCTGGTGCCTTGTCCTGGCGCCAATCGCCTCTCGCCATAGGAAGAGCCCCAAGGCCGCGCGGTTCGGCCATCATATGCACATTACACACAAAAATGGATCTCCTGGACGTTCCGCGGCAGCAGTTAGGAAAACCTTCATTCCCTCGCACCACAACGCCGCCACAATCGGCATCACGAATGAACCGTAGCCTCTCAAGTCCTCACGTAGCCGCTTCTGGACCCCGGTGTGCCCCCTCTGCGCTCGCCTGCAGCTACAGCTATAGCTACAGCTCACCCGGTGCCACACACACCCCACATCTACATCTCTATATCCTCTCCCTCACTCCCTCACCCCCTTAGTCCGCTCCGCTTAACGGCGGCCCCCTGCGCCCACACACCCCCGCGCACACCCCCCCGCGCACACAGAGCCTCATCCGCCATCGCGTGGGCTCAAGGCACCCGCTCTCGCCCACTTCCCGTGCAGCGCACGACAAACGCCGCAACGGGATTGACGCCACCGCCGCACGGTGACGGACACACAAACAGATGAACATACGGACGGCCAACATTTGGCGGCCGTCACACACACACACATGTCGACACACACATACACAAGCACTACTCTGATCATCTGTGCGACATCACTCCAGCACTCCCTCTGCGCGATGCTCAGTCCATTGCGGACCCACACGCGGACACACACCTCGGACCGCCGGACGGCCGTGGGCGTAGCAAAACAGGGATGGGGTGCATGGGAAGGTTGGGGGGGCACGTATGGTCATTCAATCGGCCGGGCGGGTGGCGCTCGGGACCGTGTGTGTTTCGTATCCTACGCGGCCTCGTACAGTTTCCGTACGTGGTCTAGTCCTGCCGGCAGCAGCGAGACGGGGCAGCAGCCGTGCTGCATGACGTGGTTGAAAGCGCAAGGGTAGCAGAACACGTAGCCCGAGGTGGCGATGGTGGCGGGGTTAGTGGTGCGTTTCCTGTGAAGAGGGAGCGACAGAGGGAGGTAGGAAGGGGGGAAGGGAGGGGGGAGGGTAACCACATCACAGTACATTACGGAATGTGCGTGGATTCAGATTCAGTTTGAGGAGGAATTGGCGAAAGGCCGGCAGATCTCCGGAAATTGTTATAGCCAGGACACCTCGGCGTCTCTGAAGGTTCCTGAGGAGGCTCTTTGGATCTGGATCTAGGGTTTCTTTCAAACCTTGGAACTCAAGGCTGTCAGGAGATGGAGGCAGCAATAGGAGAAATGGGTTAAGACGAACCACTGACGATTGAAAAGGCGTTCAGAAGACGTTTCGCTGGTGAACTGGTGAGCTGGTGAGCTAGTGAACCGGTAAACGGGAAATAATTCAGGGTATATGAAAAGACACCTACACACGCCGACGCCCACACATACATACACATACATACACATACATACATACACGCACGCACGTACGTACGTACGTACCTGCACAACGGACAGTCTGACGGGTCCGCGGGCAGTCCGACCCCCCCCGGCGGCGGCACGGGCCGCGGTGGCGGCGGTGGCGGCGGCGGCGGCAGGACCTTGCTGCGCGCCAGTGACCCCTCCGCCGTGGAGTACCACCACTCCAGAGCCTGGTCAGGAAACACGTGACCAGGAAAAACACACAGCATGACAACAGTCACACACAGCACACCAGCGCACGTTGATACGGGAGCTGCATTTTGAAAGACTTGGCAAACTTACAAATAAACGTTCTCATCGCCGGTCAAAAAATATACCGGATACCGTTTTGCAACATGCATAATCAAGAGCATCTCAGAGCAGTGACGTCTGCGTTGGTACGGTCCGTACTGTCCGTTACAGTACGGAAGATGTCAGGTTGAGTATGGGGTTCACATACAAAACACGGAGGAGCAAGACAACGGTCAGGCAGCCAGCACGTGGAGCTGCAAGGATCTGCTGTACATAAGACATGACTCCAGGGACCCCCAGGGCTCTCCCCCCATATCTCCACGTCCTCTAGGTTGCATTAGTTGCAGACCCCCTCCCCTCCCCAACCCCACCCCACCCCAGCCCCCGGGGGATCATGCACCTTAAATCCAAATACCGCCAAGATGAGGCTGCTGCGCGCGTGGTCCTCTAGTAGCCACCTAGCCGCCAGGAGGCCCCGGACCAAGCCGTAACGCCCCGTGGTGACGGCATGCCGCGCCGCTGCCGCGGCGCCGCGCATCGTACGACTCCCGGACGCCGCAGTGGCTGCTGTCGCCGCCGCTGCCCTGCTCGCCCTCAGCGCCTGCAGCAACGCCTGACGGCTTGCCTGCTTCGCCTTGTCAGCATCCATCTGTTTCGAGTCGCGGAGTCGCGGGAGGTGAGCGGGTGGTGGTGGTTGTCTAATGAGTGGGTGGTGGTTGAGTGGCAGTGGGTGAGCTGGGAGGAACCATATGGGCAGGCGCGTGGAGTTGGGGCCAACCAACAAACCAACAACCAATCAACAACCAACCAACAAATCCGAGGTAAAGAAGATGGCATTTAATCGTGCTATAATCGTTTCATACTGTTCATCGGCATCATCGGTGTACGACCGCACGCAGGGGGCTAACGCATGGATAGCCCACACCCCACACCCCATCCAGCATCCATATCAAGGCCTTGAGCCTGAGCTGGTCCGCGAGGCTGTTTTTGGAATTCTACGATTTAAGAGTGACTTTACGGCGCTAGGTGCTTCCTGGCTTCCTGCCTACCCGCCTCTACCGCTGCTGCTCCTGCCCGTTCCTGCTGCGGTAGCCTCCCCTCAAATCTCACCTCCCTTCCCCCCCGCTGTCCGACCCCTCCCTCCCTTTCCCCTCCACCTCTTCCCCCCCCGCCCCCCCTCCGCACTCACAAGGTCCTTGGCCGAGGTGCGGGCGACGCTCACACCGAGGGCCTGGGGTTACACGACCAACAATGGCACCGGCAGCAGCAGCAGCAGCAGAGGCGAGATAACGCTTGAAAATTTGCAGTCGCAACAAATCAGGAGCAGAAAAAGGACCACCAGAAGAAGGAGAAGAAGAAGACGAAGGAAAGGGACATTGGCAATCGGGGCCCGGCTGGTGGCGGGAGGCGACAGGGCCAACCCATCTGTGGCTTCCTTATCCTCCCAACCCATAACAGCCAAGGCAAGGTGCATGATGGACACGTCGGCGCTGAAAAACACACCGTCAGTCGCACACAGCGTCCCGAACAGGGGGAGGGGCCGGGGGAGCCGCCCGCCACGGTTTGCTACCCCCACCCCAGCTGCACCACTTCCCCTGCGCCCTGCCTTCACCCGCATCGGGACCGCGGGCTGGGTGGCCGTGTCAAACAAGGTCACCACTACCAGCACAACCCTACTAGCACTATTGTCAACACCGCCATCATCAACACCATCATCATCATCATCATCATCATCATCATCACCATAATTATCCTTTGCAGCGCCGCCCGCTAATGCAACAATATCGTCATCGCTCGTTGATTGCGAGTGTTTTTTGGAAATAGAAGCGGCGAAGAAAGCCCAGCGGCTGAAAGCAAGGCCAATCAGTACAATCTCCCGCAAGCACCCTCAGTACTCACATGTAGTACGGGATGGTGTACGGAACTTGCACCGAGAAGGTACGACAGATGGTAAGCGAATGTCGTGCCCTGCGGGACCGAAGTCAAAACACCCCAACGCGCGGCGCCAACGAGGCGGCCACAAGGGGGCCCAGGGGAAGGTGGTTACAAACAACACAACGTGAGCATCTAAAAGATTCCCGCTCGCGGGGGCCATCATCGGGTTCTTTGGCCCTCACCCCCACGGGTTGTGGAATGATTGTGGAAAGGAAGATAACTCCGGGGAACAGGGGGACAGGGGGAAAGTGGTAAAGCTCAAACAGGAAAGGCAGCGAATCCACATTCTGTGCCCAATCCAAACCTAACCCCCCCCACACACACACAGACCACACGCATCCGCACCAAATCCACGTCCGGACCCCAGCCCACCTCCAAGGCGGCGTGCAGCCAGGGGTAAGCCGCCACAAAGGCCCTCACCAACCGCTCCCGCAGGTCGCCGGACGCCCCCTCCCCCTCCCCCTCAGCCTCCCCCTCGGCCTCCCCGCCATGGGCTCTCCGACCTGGGGGCCCTGAGGACGCGGCGGTGGCGGCGGCGGTGGAGGAGCCCTGCGGCGAGTGCACGAATTGCAGCCAGGCACGTGGGTAGGGGCCCAAGGGCCCGGGGATGACCCCAACTCTGCTGTTGCTGCTATTGTTGACGCAGGTGGCGGCTGCTCTCCATCACGTGCTCCCACTATTATATTATGATCGTCGTTGCGCCCGCATGTCCGAAAAGGGGGGAGGGTGCTAAACACTGGATCGGGGCTCAGTCAATCCTGGAGCGTTCCTGGAGCGTTCCCACCCGCGTCATGGAACCTAGAACCTGAAACCTGAGACCTGGAACCTGAGCTCTACTTGGAATTATTGCTAATGGGCATTGGGCACTAAATGAGTGAGCGTGTCTCCTTCCATCGCGGACTCAAACCCTGGTCAGGGACCCTGGACCAGGGCTGAGCAGCTAATGAGGCTGTGAGGAGAGAGGCTGGGACCCACCTGCTCTCCACCGTATCGCAACGCAAGCGCAAGTATGCCGCCCGAAGCAGAGGCGGAGCGGCGGATAACCTTATCCGCTTTGGATTTAAGGTAGGGCAGCAGAACTTTGCAGGCAAGTACGAGCCAGCGTTGCCGACGTGTCAGGCGTTCCCGGCCGTTCTGCCCCGGACGCAGGGGCTGCAGCTTCAACCCATACAAGCTGTCTGAGAAGGTGCTGTCGGAGCTCAGTAGGCTGTGGCCGTCGAGGACTAGCGTGAGAAGCGCGAACACCTCGTCATCGTAGTTAAGAAGTCGGTACACCCAAGGATGCCGCTGGGAAAAGACCTGAGGAGCACATCCTCCATTATATTTCTACTTCCTTGTCGTATATTCAACTATCGTCAGCTCTTGAAGGGTGGGAATCCTTTCCCACGCTTCAAGGACAAGACCGGCAGTCGCAGCCCAAGCTCACCGAAAGCGCATAGATTACTGCCGCCTTTAAGCTTGGCACAAGTCGGTCAGCTGCAATAACTTCAAAATATGTCGGTTTCGAGTTCTCGTCACCACCTAAGTGCACGAACATAGCCAAGACTTGGGAAGTATGACAGGCAGTATGCTAGCTCATAAGCTATGGTGTAATTTGTCTTAAGGGTGCGCAGTGCAATGTACGCGATGGACGACGACTACCTCGTTCGTCATTGCAAAGCGTACAGGGCTTCGCCAAATTGTAACAATAAACATCTATAGCAAGCCATGAAAAGGATACAACCTCTCGATTTCACACTTACCTTTGTTGGTAAGACGAGATGAGTCAGTCTAACCAACTCCGAAGTTTTGTACAACAGGTGGGATACATACTTGAATGGCTGTGCTGATTAACGAAACAGTGGAGTGAGGCTGTTGCACTGCAAGTTCAGCATACTATGATGCCAAATGGGCAGGCTGCAGGAAATGGACGCTTAAATTGCCATAGCAACGTTTCCGCACCTGGGTAGTGGTTCCTGGAACAAAGGAACCATTTCGTTTCATGCAGCCTGAACGTCATATGCCGCGCACACACTTCAAAATACGTGATTGTACATCACTGCTGCACGCGTACGTCAAAACCCAGGATGCAAACAACAAATGACCTCCCGGCAAGCCAACACACAATATGGTGCGCGTGACCTTCAGGCAAAACCATGTGTGTCTTCGGAATCTTCGCTATCGCAGGGATCAATGCCATCTCGCTGTCTCCACCACTGTTCAACCAACTCCAAAGCGAAGCGCCTGTGATTCCCTTACGTGCGGGCTCCTACAAGCAACCATTTAAGCAGTGATGCTCAGCAGCATCTCCCCTAAACCGAGGTAATGACCTCATGCGATCCTCCCGCTCGCTCGTGAGCAGAAAAAACGTCAGGTCGTGCTGCCTCGAGGGTAACCTAGGCCAAGAACATGTCAGGCGTGTGGAGAACAAGGCAGCCAACCAGCGCATTATCCGGAGCGCAAAAAGAGCGGCTTGATCCATAACACACGACGACATTGGGTGTCCGCCCAGGGCAGAGGCGCAGGCCCCCGGTAGCTCCCAGGATAACACCGGATATGGGTGGCACGGTCAAGGTTTGCCGTAGCATTGGCCTGTATTACCTGTATATCTGCTGACGCGTTTCGCGGTACATACGGTGCCGGAATCACCACGGAGGATGAATAAGCACGCTAAGCGCAAAGCACTGAGAAACAGCACGCGGGTAAGGACACACCTCAAGGCGATAACTCCACCTGCCGCTGCTGCTGCTGCTGAGACACAGAAACCCCCCGCGTCACAACTTCCTGCTCTCCCCCTCCCCTCCTCTTCCTGGCACCCGGGAGATGACGCACCGCGCAGCGCGCGGCGCTTGCAGTCGAAGTGGGGAAATAGTGAGGACTCCTAGCCGCCGTGCCGCCGTGCACGTAAGAAGATGAAGAAGAAGGCCAAATGCATCTCACGTCCGCAGGAAGCGCACAGCCTTCCCACACGTGCACAGCCCATGATGCATCCGTCCGCAGTGAAGGAAAAAAACAATTGGACGAGAGTCACTCAATCATCGCATATCATTCCAGGCAAGACGCAGAAAAAAGGATCGCGTCCCGCGCAGAACACGCTTGGAATAAAAAAAAAGTCAACGTCATGAAATGGTACAGGCGTTCGCCGCTTCGCATTAGGGTACCATGGGCCATGTGTCAAAGAGCCGCACGGGGACATGCCAACAATAGCAACATGTAGCTCCTTCCTTACTGGCAATTTTCCGAACCTTCCGGATGGCCTCTGTGACATACAAATAAGCACATATCGCGTCGCAAAACCCTCCTCCGTCCTGAATGCTACGCTGTCGCGCTAGCTACGACAGAGACAGACACGTGATTCAGAAACACTGGTGATCACGTTATCATGCTCTGCCTCATCCACTCACCCACCCATCCACAACACACAATATCGACAAGCTAAAAGCGGACGCCGTGTGTGCCGCACAACGCACATCGTGTATTATCGAAGGGTATTCATCTCCTGCGTCACACTACAGCAAGTGCGCGCGGGAAGACTGTCCCTGAAGTAGCCGAGCGCTTTTTCATTGCATGCGACGGCTGTTGTAACGACTGCCGCGGCCGCCACCGCCGACGGCGACGCCGCGCCCACCCTCCCCGTGACCTCCTGCCCGGGGCGGCCCGCGGGGACTCTTCTCCACGTGGCCGTTGCCAGTGCCACCACGCCGCCGCCGCTCCGGGCTGCGGGCCTTCCGACGCCTAGCCGCCTCGACCCACCCACCACCATCGTCGCTCTCATGAAATGCCTGACTCGTCTGGCTCCCCGCAGCAGCGCTGTCGCCGCTGGCGGTAGCGGCCGCAGTGCGATGACCGTCACCAGCCGGACCAGCCGGCACTTTACCCGACGCCGTCGCCCCTGCAGCAGCAACGGGTGATTCAGCACCGCCGTGCGCCACACCACCATCCTCTGGGGAGCCCGTCTTGACGGCGGCGCCAGTACCGGGCGAGGACCGCACCGGGCGAGGACCGCTACCGGCTGCTGAGCCGGAATGGCGGTAGCGGTCCCGGCTGTGGGCGCCGGGACCAGAGGGCCCATGGCCATGGTTGCTGCTGGCCATGGGTGGCCCAACGGAAGCGGGGGAGGAATCTTCCGGACGCTTGAGCAGCGACGCCCAGCTGCGAACGGGCGGTTGGCTGGCTGAGGCAGCAGGCGCCGGCGGCGACTCCTTTGCGGCGGTGTGTCCGTCGGATGCAGAAGCTGCAGTCAGTTAGGGAGTAAGGGGTTCATACGTTACTTGTTGAAGAGGAGTTGTTGGGGACATGAGAAGCAGGAAGGGCGGGTCAGGTAAGCAGAGCTTAACGAAAGATGCGCGCTGCTACCTCAGCGCTGCCACTACCACTACCATCCTAACATTAACGCTAACACTAACTGTTCCCATGGACTGCTGAAGCCACTGCACGTGCCTATTTCAACTCCCCGCTGATGACCATCACCACGCACGCCGCTCACCCGGTTGAATTTCCAATGGCGTCGAGTTTGCTGCACCGGAAACCACGGCCTCATGCTCCTCCGCCTCGACTTCATCCGCCCAGCTGACCGCTGCAGCGGCCGGCGCCTCACTGTCGCCAATTTCAGCAGTCACTGCCACCGTTGCCGCTGGCACAGGAGCCACAGCACCTGGCGGCTCCAGCGTGGGCAGTCCAGACTGCGTGGTGAGGCCGTTGCGGCTGGGTGGCTTCGGTGGCGAAGCTGGTGGCAGCGGCAGACCCACCGATGTGACCGCCGGCAGCGATGCCGACGGCGCTACCACTACTGCTGCCGGTGTGGTTGCTCCTGCTGCACCTGTTGCTGCATCCGCAGCGCCACCAGAGCTGGCCCGACGTGACCCTGCTGCTCCTGATGCTGCTACCACAACGGGCATGCCGGCCGCCGACACGGCGGCCATGGTGGACGCCACTTTGAGTGCCTCCGCCGTCAGGGAATCATCGGACCGAGCCTCCCCGCCGGCGCCGCCTCCGCTGCCACCGCGTGACTTGCCTGCGGCTGATGCGAGGCCGCGGGGGGACCTGGCCGCGCCGCTGACGCTGCAGCCGCCACTGCCGCTTGCCGATTTGGAGACCCCCTTTCCAGATGAAGCGCTGCTGCCACCCCCGGAGCGCCTACGCCATTCCACAGCTGCAGACCTATGGCCCGCGTTGGCGGCCGCCGCAGCCGCCAGCGATACAATTTCGGCGAAGCTGCGCCGCATATTTCCGGCTGTCGCAGCACCGCCGTTGGCGCTACCGGTGCTGCTCTTCATGCTGCCGCTGTCGCTCACGGCGCCGCCGCCGCTACTGTTGTTGCTGCTGGCGGTGGCGCTCGTCCTGGTGACCCTCAGCGCCTGTCCACCATCAGCAGCGGCCGGCAAGGCCACGGAAGGCGCTGGCGCCTCCTCACGGGCGGCATGGGCACCCGCCGCCAGTGCCGCTGCGGCCGCCTCTGCTGCCGGAGCGATATTCTCCTTTTGAGCCAGTGAGGGTTCGGCAACCGCTGCCGCCGCCGCGGCGGCCGCTGCAACCGTCGCCACTGCTACAGTACGTCCCGCTGCAGGGCCGGCAGCCGTGTTGAGATTTCGGGGCGACGGTACTCCACGGCCTGACCCCTTCCGGCTGCCCGGTCCGGATGTGGCGACGGCGTTAGCATTAGCATTCGCCGCGGCCGCGGCAATAGAGGCAAAGGAGACACCGGTTCGGAGCCAGGGGCCTGGCGGCGGCTTGGAAGCACCTGTCGCCGCGGTTGAACTCGGCGGCGGCAGTGGCGGCAGAGGGGGAATAGACGGCTCGGCAGCTCGCACTGCGGGCGCCTCGGCTGGTGGTGCTGCTGGTATGTCGCTTATGCCAGATGTGCCAGTGGGTTCGGCACTGGTCATGGCAGGGTCTGCAGATCCCGCCGTACCTTCCGCCGCTGTTGGAATCCCTGTACCCCCTGCCACCTCACCCTTGGCACCTGCGGACGGTCAGCCAGGAAGTTTTGAAAAACGCCAACGTAGATTGACGCCGCGTGTCATACGCGAACAAGCCCGAACACACAAAACATGCGACATAACATTTTGCCTTGATATTGATGAATTAGTAAAACATGCGTACAGCCCACACCGCATGACCACGAGCCAGCGACGTCACTGCGATGCTTCGTGGTCCTCTACATGGCGCTAAGATGTGGCCCTGCAGCTTCTGATCTCTATCCCCAAAGGAAAACCGCAAAGGAAGCGTCGTCCAGTCGGGCCGGGCTATATAAACTTCTTGACAGATGCCGATAGGCATACATGCTGTATGCACCGCACGGGCGGTCAGAGAACTTTGAAAAACTTTTCAGTACCCACATCCTCGACGATATGTGTCGGGTCGGGTCTTCTTTTCATCGTCACTCCGCCAGCACGACTTCATACATGCGCACAGTCATACGTACAGGTCAGCATACAGGCACACACCCCAACTATTGCAAGTCAAGGACATCGTGCTTAACGACCCATCCCCCAGCACATGCAGAAGCGCCAGATAGCCACCCTGGGGGAGGGGGTTGTGGTTCGCGCACCATGAAGGATGGATAGACAGGATTGTTTGCCCTTCCTCCTCGCACGGTCCAAGGCCTGACCAAATCGCAAGTGACACAGTGCGGACGCACCTGAGGAGCTGCACGCCGCCTCCGCAGGAGGAGCGCCCTTGCCGCTGTCATCCTCCTCACAACCCGCACCCGCCTCCGCTGCTTCTGATGGAGGCGGCGGCGACTGCGGCCATGATCCCCTGGCATTGTCTTGCCCTGAACCAGCGCTCGCCTTGCGCTCAGACAGCAGCGACACCGCTCGTGCTGCCCTGACGCCGTCTGCAGTGGTTGCTTTAGCGGTGAGAACCTTTGCGCAAGCGACTTGAAGGCTCGCGTGTACGACCTCCCGCGGCGAGCTACCCTCTGCTGACGATGCCACCACGGAGTTCATGCGCACGGGGGGAAGTGATGATGACGCCGACGTCGATGCCGTTGTTGCCGTAAAAGCAGCGGCGACCGCAGCGACGGCAGTCCCCGGGCATGGGCTTCCGCTGCTACTGCCGGCAGGCGTCACAGTCGGCGCCACAAGGGATGTAGCAGCTGATGGAGCCGGCGACGAGGCATCGAACGATGTTACCTCTGCCACTGCAGCGGCGGAGACGGAGGTGGTATCCAGCTGGGTTCTCCCCAGTGCCGTGTCCGCTGGGAAAGCAGCCAAAGCGGCCAAAGCATTCAAGCCGGGAGGAGTTTGGTCGGATGCCATCACCGCTGCCACCGTGTCGGCCGGGACTGCCACCACGACTGGACTAGCAGCGGCCTCAGCGGTGTCACAGGAGTTGTTGGCGGAGGGAACGTTCGGATCACATGACCCTTGGTCCAGGAGCACGCAGTGGTCTTCCGATGGGGAGGGCACGTAGGTGTGTGTCTCCTCTTCTGCCGCATCAACAGGGACGACATCCAAGCCATGCACCACGGTGACGCATCCGCCTGAGGCGCTAACCGCCTGCTCGGTACCTGCTAAAGGCTCGGCGGGAGCAGGCTCTGGCTGTGTGACAGGGTCCGGCTGTGTGGCTGCTTGGCTTTCGGTGTCTGGCTCCGGCTCGGTGGCTGCTTGTGCTTCGACAGGGGCCGATTCCGGTGGCAGCGCTGGCGGCACGGTAGCTGGTTCTGCAATGGCTGCTTCCTCCGACGTGGCCAAAGGAGTAGCGGCTTCCACTGCCGCTTCTGAAGTCACAGCGGCATCTGCAGCTACAGTGTCCGAGACTGCCATCGCCGTGCTGGCCGCCGGCCCCTCGAGTGCATCACCCGCCGCGATGGGGTGCACTTCACTGCTGCGCTCTATCTCGGATGTTGACTCTGCGGACCTTCCGGCCCCGGCAGCGGAATCCCCGATGGCTGGGGCCGCCTGGGCATCGCCTCCATCACGGGAACCAGTGCCCGCGGTCTCGGTCTCTGCTGTGATTAGTGCCGCCGGGGTCTCTGCGGTGACAGCAGCGGTGGCCTCAGCATCAGGCGCTGGCGTTGTACCTGGGGCTCCGGGTTGAGTGCTGGGAGGATCAACAGCTGAAACTGCAGCCTCGGTGGTGGTGCAGATGGCCAACGGCTGTGCATCCGGCTGGTCCGAAGCCGCAGGCTGCTCCTGCGCAATAGGCTGGTCTTTCAAGGCGGGTTGTTCCGCAGCGGAGGCAGCTTGGGCCCCTGATGCCTTCGAGCCTTCGATGGAGACTGTTTCCGTTGTGGACTGCTGGCTTACAGCTGCGTCCGCCGTAATGTAGCCTGTCGCCCTGCCGGCTTGCTCATCAGAGCTCGTGCCGTTGGTGACCGCTTCAATGGCCGATGATGCATGTATGGCGGATCGATTCGCTTGCAGCACCTCACCGGCCGCTTCTGCGGGTGCAAATGCATCAGCACCCGTGACCTAGAATACAATGCCCCTGTTGACCGCGGAATGCTCATAACCGGAAAATCCACAGCCAAAACATCAAAATAAAAATCTATATGAAACAAATGAATAAATGTTTATAAGTCTGGATGCATGCGTGAATTAAAAGGCGCTGCGCCAAGGCAATTGTTATCGCCTCGCGGCAAGAAGAAGGCCTTTACAGCGATAGGAAGCAGCCGATTTCTGCCTGATACATTTGGTGTGTAACTCCCTACCTTTACCGCCCGCAGAAGGCACGTGTCCATTGGTAGCTGCCTCGCTGGCAAGCGCTTGCGGCGGCGACTTGCCAGTTTGACCTTCAGCTCCTGGATGCGCATTACCTCGGACCTTTTCATCCATCTTACTGTTCGCGGCAGCTAAAGCCTGTTGTTTGGCATCAGTAGACCGGGGTGAAGCCTGTTGCTTCTCCTGGCCAGTCTCCTTATCCACAGGCTTGCCACAGACGCAGCCCATTTTCCTCTATACTGAGACGTGCCCCAATCACAACCGGGCGGGTCGATTCTATACCCGCCCGGGCAGTTTGAGAGATAACAGAATCGTAAAGGTCGACCACCACGCAACAAGACTTTGGTCAACGCACCGCAGTCATCATGTATACTTTGTCTTTCCTTATGGCCATCACATCGTCTACGTAATTCAAGATAATTTTTGCATAAAAATTATAGCTCCAAAAAATTGTCTAAAACTTTCCCAGGTTCCGGAGCTAAGCCGGGATATGGCCCAGATTACCAGATGCTTGGTGAGCCCGCTAATATCTTTTTTTATCTTTTACAATATAAAGCGATGCAGGCCCAAGCTTCCCGACGAATAGGTTATCGACCGTTTATACTTGCAGCTTCTGCCTCACGTGCTCGGCCAGCTCCAAAGCCGCAGGGCCTTGCGTCTTCCGCGCTGACCATCCCATTTCTCCTCCAGCTCCCTGGACACCACATACATGCACCTCCTCGCCAAATTTCACCAGCAAGAGCAGTCGGAGCCGCCGGTCCGGCTACAAGCCCTTCCACTGCGCTTTTTCAGGATGGATGGCCGCTGTGGTGCCTCCTAGCAGCTTGCGGGGCAGCAGCCCAAGTACGCTCTCGCCCGCCACTCCTACCCCTGACCATCTAAAACCCTTAGCCGCACCATATGAAATACGACACCCCCCTTCCGCTCACCATCCATTTCCCACACGCACGCCCTTTCTGTAGCTCGTTCCTCCACCTTCCTGCATACACAGCAAAGCGGCCACCACCCCTGGGGTACGGCATGCAGGTGTGTGAGACCCACACTCGATGGGGGGCGGCCTTATCAGCCCCGCTCCTATCCATGATGTGCGCTGTGGGGCTGGCGGCCGGCGGCCTCATCCCCACCGACTGCGCCGCATATGATGCTGTGTGGCGGTACTTAATGCCTCTGGCTGCTGCATGCTTCCTGCTGGAGACAGACCTACAAAGGCAAGGACGAGGGGAAGTGATGGAAAATGTAAAGTGATGGAACTGGTTTTTTTCTGTGAAGAATGGGATTGTGGCGAGATGCGGGGTTGCACGCGCAGACACGTGATCCCAACCACCCACCACCACCACCCAGCTTTTGTTCCCAAGCTCTCCTCCGTCCCCATTCGCGCCCACACAGACTCCATATCACACACCTTACACGGTACAGTCCCCCACTCACCCACCGCGGGCGGCAGCAATTTGCGGCTTTGGAAGTCGGAAGTTGCTCTGTTTTGTACCTTTTTTATACTTCACCCCATCCCAAAAACCTCCTGCCCGCTTAGACTCTGCCAATACCCAACTCCGCTAACCAACCCCAGGCTGGCCAGCGACGGCGGGCCGGTCCTCGCCGGCTTCGCTGTGGGGGCGGTAGGCATGGTACTGGGCGCCCTGGCGGGTTGCTGGCTGCTGAGGGAGGCTCTGGGCCCCTTGGGCTCCAAGCTGGCGGCTTGCCTGTGTGGCAGCTACGTGGGGGGTTCAGTCAACTTCGCCGCCTTGGCGCTGGTGCGGAGAAACGTGGGAAACCGGCGGGACAGGGCACGATGGGACATTGGATCATGGGGAGAGGAGAGGGGGTTGGAACGAGCGGGAATGGGAAGCCGGGAGGTCGAGGGGTTGGCACGCGCGCCACTGCAAATCGTCTTTCCTTAAGTCCCAAACGACGACCTAACAACCTAACGACCTGTCACTGATGATGTTGATGCGTTTGCTGCGGCAGCTGTTGTTTCCATCGTCGGCAATGTCTTCTCTTGTAACCAACGCCGCTGCTGCTGACGGCGATGTTGCCTGAACAGGCTCTCCAGGTCCCGGCGGCATCCCTCCCGGGAGCCATGGCGGCTGACAACCTGCTTATGGCTGTGTTCCTTGGGGCGCTCATGGCGGTACCCGTACAGAAAACGGCGCTCGCCGTTAGCGGCGGCGGCGCCGGAGCCGGGTCATCAGCAGCCGGGGATGTGGCAATGGCGGCACAGGTGACGGGGTCGGTGGCGGCGCCACCGCCGCCGCCGCCGCCAGTGACGGCGGAGTCGCTCAGCCTGACGCTGGCGGCGGCGGCGGCATCCTGCACGGCGGCGCATCTCTTGGCGGAGGCGCTAGACATCATACCGCTGACGCTGTTGCTTCTGGCGGCGGTGGCGGCGTCGCTGGCGACGGCGGCGAAGTGGCTACGGACAGCAGTGATGCGGGGCAGAGGAGGTGGCAGCGGCAAGGTGGCGGCGCCGCCTACCGGGCCGGTCTTTGCCGGTGGGCCCCAGGACTCGCCACTTACTCACCCCTAGACGCGATCACCCTTACGCACCCTCACGCACCCTCACCTTGCTGCTTGCCCTCCCTTCTCCTTCCCTTCCCTGACCCCCCCACCCCGGCCACCAACAGGCGCTGCTCAGCTGGGCTCCTGCTTCATGATGCTCTTCTTTGCCGTCATCGGTGCCTCCGCCGGCTCCCCATCATGCCTGGCGGGCTGCGGCGTGCTTGTGCCCTTCCTGGGCCTTATGGTAGTGGTGCACTGGGTTGTGGTGCTGGCGCTTGGGAGGTGGCTGCTGCGGTTGCCGTTAGAGGCACTGTTGCTGGGCTCCAACGCATGCATCGGCGGCCCGGCCACAGCGGCAGGTAGGGCGGGCAGGCAGGGGGCCCAGGGTGATGTTGTGAAACTGGCAGTAGCAGGAGTAGCGGTAATGGTGTGAAACCGGACTTAAGGTGGCTTGCGGCGTTGTTAAGGGAGAGCATATGACCGGGCAGGGAAGCTTAGCAGAAGTGCCGCTTCCGGGCACAGGATGTGGCAGATGCCAGCTGGGGGATGTGGTATAGAATGATTTCCACAGCGACAGCTGGTGTTGGGTACTGTATCATTCCGCGGGAATCTCATCCACATTCATATCGAGTCAACGCGATGACGCCTTGCTGGTGGTGCTCTCGCATCGTGCTGGGGCTCGTGCCTCTCCGTCCTCGAGGCCCAAACCAGATGCTCAGATCGGGACATCTCCTTTCCCCCCCCCCACACACACAATCACACACGGACCCGTGACCTTTACCCCCCAACCATCTGCAACCCCTGTCCCTGATATTAGTTTTCCTCTTCCTGGTAGCCATGGCCGCAGCCAAGGGCTGGACACCGCTGGTACAGCCGGCCATGTTAGCGGGTAGCCTTGGCTACGCGACCGGTACTGCCGCGGGGCTGGCGGTGGCGCGAATCATTGGAGCTGCATGAGATTGGAGGTCAGGGGTGTTGAACCTGACGCGGTGTGATTTGTGACCGTGTGCCAGGAGGCACCAACGTGGCGAAGGGAAATGTAAAGGCGGGTGTGTGGTGCGTTCGTGCACGCGTGTGGTTTTAGCACTCGGGAGGAAGGGACTTGGCATCGCCGTCCGACTGACTTTTGAATACTTAATGGCGGAATGGCGGAATGGCTAATTTCGACTGTTGGAATGGCTGGCCATATCTGCGGCTGGCGCGTTTTTTCCCTTTGACTGGAAGTCCTGAAGGGGGGGGTGTCAAATGGGTGTTGCACCGATTCGGCATCGATGTCGTTTAGGCAAAAGATGCCATAGCTAGTTGTATTGCATGCAGTAAAAGTAATCGAGTTTTGTTAAGCAGCCCCTCGCACAAATGTGTCCGGTCGTACTGTGCCGAATAAAGACTCCGTACAAAAGCCCAAAAGCCAGGAGCGAATTTTACCGCACAGATGCGCGCGTGCGATTCGCAAAATGCGCCTGTACAAGTGTATATAAATTCCTGGCGGAAAGACCGAGGATCGCCAGCGCGTTGCGCAGGTGGGCATGTTGGCCATAGCCGCACGCGGCATGCAGGCTGGACTATTGCGTGGCTGCTTTGCAGTAACTGAAAGCACCGAAAGCCTACGTCGTAGCTTGCAAGACTGGGCTCGTGAAACTGCCGCGGGAAGAGGAAGCGTCTGGCGAAGAGGCAGTTGTATGCAGCACCTTGTTCAGAGTAAAGTCAAATTGCAAAGTTGCGCAAAGTATAACATACATAAACTTAATTAAACATAAGAACAGATAAGACGTTTAGAGCCTTGTCGGTGACATGGACGCCGCTGTTGGCTTGGAACAGCTATTTGCTGTGCATAGGGACGTGCCCGCGTTAGCCGTGTTGCAACAGCTCAGGATGGATTTCAGCCAGCAACAGCCTCAAGAGCTGCTGCACAACCACCGGGAATGTCTTCAGTTGGGCACGTGTAGTTTTGGTCGGCGGGGTCGAGCAACGTACGCAATGCGCACAGAAACCAACGCCAACATATCCGGTACGCAGGCTTGCCGAGCACGAAATGAAGGGGGGGTCGCATCACACCATTCAACTAAGCATGCATGTGCTCGGTTGAATGCTCGGTAGCGTGCGAGTTTACCCCTATCAGGATGTTTGTTTGCATATCCCTCCAAGCGAGAGGGCTTGGACCTATGCTGATGTTCGTTCCAAGAAGTGAACTGAGGACTGATGCTACGGTGAAAGATTTGCACGTAAATTCGCCCGTGCAATAAAACGCCCTGTAACTCGCTTACGCTAATCTCACATTCCAATATGCCACTGCACTTTCCTCTCCAGCCTGGCCACATTCTCTTCCTCGCAAACGTACTTGGGCACCTTACAATCCAACACCATACGTGCTTTGGAAACGCGGGCAGCTGCTTCACAAGGACCCCCCTATTTCCTATCACAGCTCCTATCACAATTAGGAGGGCTGTGATGAGGGCATTAAATTTTATGACGATATCGTTTTAGTCCAACTGCGAAGCTGAGTGCAAATACGTAATTATATTGATTTTTCGCCAACTGTTTTGCGACTTTTGTAAGCCCAGCTGCGAACCTCGCGACGAACCAAACCTTCGTTGGCCGAACGTAGCGAAGTTCATAGCAGTGTTCTTCGTGCTCTGGCTCTATACAGTACGTTGCTGGTACGGTTCGATTAGGTTTTTATATGAGTCACTCTGCAGTCACACAAATTCGCCACCTGATGCTTTGATCGCGTTTGACTGGATACTAGTGATGCTCCTCCGGCCGTTTTGTTGCAAGCAGGCCGCGCCCTTCTGCGGATTTACCCTGATGGGCATGCTGACAGGCTTTTGGGCAGGTTGGTGACGTTTGCCTAGGAAAGGCGTTTGTTGTAGAGTCCTGGAAAGGCATCGCTACAATATAAAACCCTAAAAATGATTCACAGCATGCACCCCAGCGACCCCAGCCTACTTCAGAGGGAATGCACGCTTGCATGCACTTCACCAAAACATGTGTTCTTTGGCAAATCTGGGTCGACCGCTGTGCATACCTTTACGAGGTATCTGGCGGTTCAGGCTGTGTGTCGAACAGGAGAGGGGACAGCGGCCCCTCACGCCCCTCCCCTTTCCCCTAGGGGGGGAAGTAGCGTCGGCGGTCTTGTTCGTTGGGGCTGGGCAGCAGCCCCTGCCCAGCGTCAGGCCCGGCAAGATATGTAACAAATATACACATACACACACACACTCTCTCTCTCTCTCTCTCTCTCTCTCTCTCTCTCTCTCTCTCACACACACACACACACTCTCACTCGCCAACAGGCCGTGGTTAGCCAGAATCTGTCCGTCCTTGGTCGACATCTCTAGCGTACTGTTGCTTATTTGGTACATATTGAGCAACAAGCGCAATAAGCACATTTCAGCATTATGCCATAGCTTATCATGCCATTTAAAACCCTTCGAAAACAACAAAGAAGGCCTCAAATAGGAAGCATCTTTGCATGGCATTGAAACTTCTTGAAGCTTGTTACGGCGTCAGTCGCTGCAGCGGGCTACCTGACTGGCAAGCAGCAGCGGCCCCAGCCGCATGCTCTTGTTGCCGCAGAACCCGGCGCTTAAAAACGTGCGGGACTGTTCGGGATTCCGTGCCGTGTGTTCTGCATATTTTCCCGGTTGAAGCTTTCGGCAGGTCCGTTTACGATCGCAAAGGATGGCTGTGCTAGGTATAAGTGCAGCAATGCAGCAACGGTGGCCAACGCAAGCTATGTTGGTGCGCATGGCCCTGGCGACCTATGGCGCAGAAATGTGTGAAGTTCGATGTGTTCAAGAATTGGGTTCAGGCAAAAGCCGTGGGTAAGCCAGGGATTTGCAAACCTGCTTGGAAAGGGGCGAACATACCGCCGTCTGCGCGTACCTTGTGGGCTTTGTGTACCGTGCTATTTGGACTCGTCGAAGTAAGGTACACTGGTGTGACATGCGAAAAATATTTAGATATTTATTGATAAAATGAAATAATTCGGCAGATCAATGGCTTTACAGCAGCAGCTGGCGGCCTTAGGTACGTGGACGACTGCTGGCCTGATCGTGTCCGACAAACCGAGGTAAAACCCAAATCGCAACCCAGATCGCGGCATGCGACATGGACCCAGTTCACGTTATCCTCGGAGATAACCTGGGCTGTTGGGAAAGGATATGTCAGGACCTTGCATGGGGCGTAGGTTAGATCTTGATATGGCGTTACCGAGAAGATGACCGAGCTCGGGACGGACACGGGCGGTTCTTGCTCCTGCTGAGTGGTGACAACACTCGATGGTTTAGGGGCAGCAGGCTGCGCGTTATTAGATAACGGTGACTTGATTATGTTGCGCTTCGATGCTTTGCATTGCAAGCTGCGTAAGCTGCGCATTTATCGGCTGTTGGGCTTTAGGATCCGGGTGGTGGGCGGCAGGAATCTTGTTAATTGTACTCCTCGCCAATGTAACTCCATTTGTGAACAGAGAACGCCTGTCAGGGCCATCTTATGTTTGTTGTAGGAAAACCATATTCCTTACGCTAATCCGCACCTCGGCGCAGTACGTTCTAGCTTCGAACCCAGTGCCAACCCATATCTTGTTAGCTGTGTGTAATTTTATATTGATTAAAAATCTGTGCGTGGCATTTAGGTTTTTTCAGCATGGATAGCACCAAGCAGTAGTGTGCAAGCATTTACGCAGAGGTTCCATGATTTGCCACTTCTCCCACGGATTTTTGCTGTAATATAGTGCTTCCATATACACAGCACTTCGTTAAGTCCTTCTCGTCTGGGTTCACGAATAGGACTAAGCCAGTGTTTAGCCTGGCCTTCGTTTCGGCAGCTTCAGGGGCGTAATACGAGAAGTTACTTCCCTTGGTAAGTTGTCGACATAACCAACCTACTGACATGTATGTCAAATTCCTTTCGCATTCTGGGTCTGCGCACCAAAGCCCTTAGAGTGGAATCCAACTAACGACTGACTTAGTCCTGATGGGAGATGGGGTAGAGAACGTCTATAATTTCTTAGCACATGTAATCGGTCAACTATATTTTTGCTTTACTGGGTACTGTGCCAGAGTCTTCGCATTACACATAGTGTCGGGGCGGGACTTTTCGCGCCACCGGGGGCGAAGTCGTAGGTTCTTGATGGTCCACTACCCACTGCAATCCAGACCGTCTATTTTTGGGTATCAGAAGCATCATTCTATTCCCCTCGAGACTTTGGGTTGCGCTGACGGCATGAATTGAATCAGGCTTACCTTCCAGCTTGCGACAGCCATCTTATTACACGTTGTTGTTCGAAGGTCCAAGAGAAATAAGACTGGCTGGTTACGGAGAAGTTAAAGTTGCCGGAGAGCGCTCAAGGTGCGTTGACTCGAACTCATGACAGGCCGATGCGCATTTTAAACATACGCTTAACAAAGGTCCCATGCAATATAGCAAACTAAGTATTATGGGGTCGCGGTGCATAAAATAACAATCTCAGACGAACCCCGTCAAGGTCACAGCATGACCTGCTTTTTCAAGGTCACACGCAACGCGTCCTGAACCCCAATCCGCTTGGATTTTCATTTGGTTGCGCAGCTGGCTTTACAAATACGCAAGCGTGTCCCTTCGCCGCTGCGGCAGTCCTGCCGTCATGCTCTGGGCGCTGGCCCTGGCCATCACCGCCGCCTGGTGCTGCAGCAGCGCATATGCGGCCGGCCCTTGCTCCGTCACCTCCCCACGGACATTCTACCAGGCGTTGCAGAATCCGCAGTGCAAACTTCTGCGCATTGAGGGGACAAGTCTCATCCTCACACCGGCCAGCTGGGCCGCCTCCGCCGCAGCCAGCAGCCTTCCCCCTTTCCCCTTGTCGCCCTCGCGCTCCCCCTCGTCCCTCTCCTCTTCCTCGCCCCAGCCTCAGCCCCTGCTAATCTCCAGAAACGTCACTCTGGAGAGCAGCAGCTCCGCCACATGGAGTGACGGCAGCAGCAGTAGTAGTAGCGCTGTGCGAGCGATCTTTGATTGTGGCTACCTGAAGCACCACATCACCGCTGCCGCCGGAGTCACCTTTCGCATCCATGGCCTCACGCTGGAAAACTGCCGACAGCCCTCCGCATTACTCGCAGTGGGTCTAGACCTCCTAGAACTGGGTCCCGGCTCGCAGCTTTTGTTGGAGGACGTGACGTACAAGTGTGTGCTGTGTCCGCCGCTGGGAGAGCTCGTACAATTTGCCGTCGCCACGCCGCGTCCCGCGGCCGCAGAGCAAAAGCAGCAGGCTGTGTGGCCGGTGCGCGACGCCTGCCTGCCGGGTACTGCTAATGTGGCGGAGGCAGAGCTGCAGCAAGAGCAGGCCGGCGGGTGCACTGGACAGGCGGTCCGCTTTGACGACTTTGCACAGCTTGGTACGCGACAGGGAGGGATAGAGAGAGGGGAAGAGGGGGGAGTCAGGGGAGGGCTCGGAGGGGGCGAGGGAGATTTTCAGGCGAGGGCTCGGAGGGGGCGAGGGAGCAGAAGGCGAGGGAGATTTTCCCGCTATGGCATCGGCACATGCAATGCAGGGCGTGTATACAGGGGAAGGGGGGTCGAGGTGACGGCTTTTTGTGGCGATACGGAAACGGGGGGAAGCAGGGGGTAAGAAGAACCACAGGCGAATGAAGCTGATACTCGAAATAGATAGATACTCCAAGAATAGGCAGATATTAAAGTAAAACAGGGAAACAGGGGGGATTTTGGGGCCTGCAAATGCGACCGGCGTCACGTTCCCGGCTCCTCCATCTTCCCCCGACTCCCTCGCCTTCTCCCCACCCACCCGCAGCCACGGGGCCCGGTCCCAACGGTGTCCGTAAGCTCAGCGGTGGCATGGTCCGCTACCTCAACGTCACACAGCTGTGCGCGAACCAAGTAAATGCGTCCTGCACTGCCGTACGAAGCCTGGCGGAATGCGCCCAGACCGCAGTTGCCAACCTGAAGCTGTCGGAGTGGGACAATGCGGATCTCCAGGTTGAGGTTTCGGAGCCACCTCCCCTCGCCAGGGCCCCCTCTAATGTGGCTTTAGTCTCGGATGCTTCAGCTGAGGAGGAGCAGCAGCAGCAGCAGCTGGCGGGGGTCGATGCTGCCGCTGCAGGTGGTGGTGGAGATGGTGGTGGTAATAAGGTGGCTGGTGAAGTTGGTAAGGTGGCGGCTATGGAGGTGGTCTACTTCTCGGCGAGCGACGCGAAAACTCGGCGGTTGCTGGCGATTGTGGTGCCCTCTGTGGTGGGGGGTGAGTGGGGCAACTGTGAGTGTATGGTTCGGTGTGTGGTTGTGGGTTTGCGTGTATACCTGCCTGCACAATCCATGAATGCAATTGATTTGGGTCGGATCGGTCCGTGGGGGGTTCAGAATTGTTGTCTGGGTCGTTCAATCACCGCCATCGCCATCACCATCACCACCACCAACAACAACAGGGCCTCGTCTTATCCCCCCCCTGGGATTCCCCCACTCAACCCCGCAACCCTCACCCGCCCACCCTCCCCTCTCTGCAGTTCTGGGTGTGCTGCTGCTGGTGGCGGGGCTGCTGGTGTGGACTCGGAGGAGGCAGAAGTTCGCACCATGCCCCATTGGGATCAAGGAAGCCTACGAGGGGTGAGGAGGAGGAGGAGGAGGATGGAGGGCGGAGGAGGGGAAGGCATGGAGGGGGGCCGCGGAGAAGGAGGAGGGGTGACAGTTGCCTTCTGCGGACGGATGCCGTGCCGCGTGTTTCTATTGTGTTACCGTTTCCCAACTGCTTCCCAGTCCCGAACGTGCAGCAAAAAAGGGGGAGGCCCTCTTCACGAGCCATATGCCTCTCGCAGGTCCGCACTTACCCCCCCCCCCCAGTACCTTTGTGGTTCGTCTTTCCCCCCCCGCACCTCCCGTTCCCGCAGTACCCGTATCTATTTCTGGTGGGCGCATCCGTCTATCTCTGGCATCTGCTTCACTCGTCCTAGTTCGTCTTAACCCCCTCCCCCCCCCCACACACACACCTGGGCGTTTACTTTGGCAGGTGTTGCTTTGAATGTAGGTAGTTGGTATTCCTTGTCTTCTCCCTCGTCCACATAGTCGTCGGCCCAACCCCCATTACCTCCACCCGCAGGGTTGTGTTCGTGGGCCTGTCTCAGGGCTCCGACATCGGCGTGCCCCATGCCAACCTAGATCTCGACCTGGGCCTGGATTTGGATCTCAACCAGTTCACCCACTTCAACCACCTGGGGGTCCTACACAACCACCACCACCACCATCACCACCACCTGCATGGCGGCGACGGTGGCGGCATGGCAGCTGTTGTCCTGAGCGGCATTGGCGGAGGGCTTGCCGGCAAGGGGGAAGTAGGAGCCAAGCACCACCACCACCACCGTCATGTGCAGCACCAGCAGCAGCAGCAGCTGGGGGATTGTGTCAGCGGAGAGGAGGGTGTGTCGGATGAAGTGTGGAGTGAGTCCCGTAAAGGATAAGGGAAGGGGGAGGGAGGAGGAGGGGGGAGTAGCGAAACCAAGGGGGTTGGGGGTGGTGGGCTGGTCAGCAGCACCTTCTCCAGTAAGGAAACTCGTCTTGAGCTCCTCAGTCCACAGCCCTCCACAATGCCCCGCCATTCCCATGCCCCCACCTATTCCCACCGCCATAGATAGCAGTTTACGTTGGTTTCGGAAACGGCGGGTCTGCAGTTGATCGCTTGTTTCTTGCGTCGTTATGCTTTCCAACCCACCCATCCACCCACCCGCCCACAGCTTCTTGCCCCATTTGATTCCCCACCCGCCCTGTCATCCTCCGCAGTTGGTGGCGGCCACCGTTACCCGCTCTCCTGGGACGGCCCGGATGGCCGGGTCCGGGCCTCCACCTCCCTCACCGTCAGCAACTGCACTTCCACCAGCGCCCCAGCAGTAGTCGGGATCATCGTCGCAGGAGCCTCATCCACACATCCACATCTTCAACCTGAACCCCAACCCCAGCCCGCCACCGCACATAAACTGCCGCCGCTGCCGCTGCTACCGCAGCCCGCCGCTGCCGCTGCCGCCAACTCGCCGCGGGCACAGCCCGCCGCATCGTCGTTAGGCGGCGAAGGCGCACCAGCACCCGGCCCTACTCAGCAACAACACCAGCTGCAGTACCACTTCGAGCTCACACAATTACCAGACCCCCCGTCTGTCGACAGGGACAGTGGTTTCGGAGCTGGTGGCAGCGGCGGCGAAGGCGGTGGCGAAGGGTGCAGTGACGACGGCGGCGGCGGCGAAGGCGGCAGCAGTCCCCGCTCCGCCCCTGTGAACCTGGTCCTCGGTGTGGACGTCATCCTGACCAGCCAGCCGGTGCTGGGTCGCAGTCCGTTGGGCTCCGCACTGCTGGGGCAGTACGGGCAGGTGCCAGTGGCGGTCAAGGTATTCCACCGGGACTGTCTGGGCGGGTCGTACGAGGAGCTCAAAGCGCTTCACGGGGACCTGGAGGGCCTGGCGGGCTTGTGTGGCGTCGGGGCGGGAGTCAGTTGTGGCGGCGCCGGAGGCAGCGGTAGTGGCGGCGGTGGGAGGCATCCGCCGCAGGTGGTCTCGGTGCTTGGTGTGGGGGAGGCGCCTGGCGGTGAGGAGGTGTTTGTGCTGGAGGTGAGTGAGGGGGGTTTGGGTTGGGGCTGTGACGTCACCTTGGGGGGTGGAGGTTGGTAAGTGGGGTTATCTTTGCCACCCTTGTCCTTGTCCTTGCCTCAGGAGCTGGGTTTCGATACTTGTAAGTAATCCCCCGGCCGCTTCTAAACCCCTTCTGCTGTTCTTTACCTCCCGCCCCCACCCCCCCGGCCGCTCATCCCCCCTCCTTTCAGGAGCTTATGAGCACCAACTTGTCCCGGCTGCTCCAGGAGAGGCAGGGACACGGCGGACTGCCTCTGGAGCGAGCACTGTCCATTGCGCTGGATGTGGCACTGGGCCTCTCGTACTTGCACCCAACCATACTGCACAGGAATGTGAGTGAGGGAAAGAGAGGGGGGGCCCGGGCAGGTCGAAGGAAGAGGGGGATAGGAGGAGGGAATACGTGGTCTGGCCCAAACGGAAGGGGGGCAACTTGGAGAGCAAGGGGGGGTGTGGGGAGCTGGATGGGTAGCTTGGAAAAACACGCAGTTTGCGCAATGGCGGCCCAGAACCGAGACAGACGAACTGCTATTAGGGTGCAACACCCTACTTCCATGCTCTGTGCCGTTTCCGATCCCGTTATTGTTGGAGTACTGGAGGCTAGTCTTCCGTTCTCTGATCATGCTGTTGGTGGTTATGGCGGTTGTGGTTATGGTGGTTGTTTCTGTTATCCTGTCCTCCTCAGCTCAAGCCGGAGAGCGTGTTGTTGGACAGCTCCTTCAACGCCAAGGTGGCGGATTACGGACTGGGTCGGCTGCTGGACTTCGGGCCCCGGGAGCGGCGGGAGCTGGAGACCAGGAGGGCCCGATATCTGGTAGGAGAGGGTGTGTGTGTGGGGGGGGAGAAGGGGTGCTATGGAAGGAGGGAGAGGGGAACGTGGGGAATATGCAAAAGCTTGTTGGGGAGTGGAAACGGGAGGGAAAGGGCCTCCGTTCTCATACACACACATATATATGTGCACATGTGCTGGTGGGCTGACAGAGAGCGGCAGATGGAGACGTGTGGGTGTTCAGACGGACTGTTCGAAACGGTGTGGTTTCCCGATACTGGTGTATGTACATACGTACGGACTGTGCGCAGGCGCCCGAGTGCTTCCGAGTGCCCCGGGAAAGGGAGAGGGAGAGGGCGGGGGAGAGGCGGTCCAGGCAGGGCTTTGGCACGGCAGCCGCCTCCGCGCCCATTCCCCCCAGCCCCACTCCCTCCCCCCGCACTCCTAGGCCGACAGCAACGCCGCAAGCAGATATGTACAGGTATGGGCTTGTGGTGGGGTGTGTGAGTGAGCGGGTGTGTATGTGTGTATGTGCGTGTGTGTATTGAGGGGGGAAGTTAGTTCGTTAAGATGTGTTACCTTCAGCGGGGCCCCGCCCATATCTGCGGCTCACTGCTACTGCTGCTCCTGCTTCTACTGCCGCCCGCACGCGTAGCCGTGCTTGCGGTAAACGGCTCACCTCTGCACGTTGCCACATCGCCATTGTGGTGTAATGAAGGAATAACATGTATTTGTATCCACACGCACACCGCTTATGTGTGTATGTATGTCGTGTGTCATTTGTCACGTGTGTCTGTTTGTGTGTTTTGCAGCTTCGGTGTGTTGCTGTGGGAGATGTTGGCCCGGGAGACTCCCTGGCGGCATATGGACGCGGACCAGATAGCAGTGGCGGTGGCGGTCCAGAACAGGCGACCGGAGATACCCGTCAACGACCGGTGAGAGAAGGGGGGGGAAAGTGGGGGACGGGAGGGGGGGAGGAAGAAGGGGGGGGAAGAAGGGAAGAGGCAAGAGGAACATGAAGCAGACACAGGATACGCTACTGTATTACCTGTGTTGATTCAGGAGGGACTCTTTGCCTGGCGCCGCATGTGTGTGTGTGTGTGTGTGTGTGTGTGTGTGTGCGTGTTAATGAAATGAGACGCGTGTAGAAATTTTGGCGACAATAACAGCCCCCCTCAACCCTTTTAAACCATCCGCTTCCCTCCCCTCTTACTCCACCAATACACACCTACACGCAGGTTCCCGCCTAAGGTCCGCAAACTCATCTTGCAGTGCTGGGAGCAGGTACGGTGACGATGACGACAGATCGACCCAGTTGTTGTTTGTTGCCCGAACCGATGTAGCGGCGGTAGTGGTAGTGGTAATGGTGGTAATGGTGGTGGTGGTGAGGCGGTACCCGCCCGCACCGGGCGGCCAAGTCGGGACTCTTCCCTAGACCTTCCCAGCCACCTCCCCACCCCTAACCCCCCACCCCCACCGACACACCACCACTACATGCACGTGGCCATAATCCCACGCACACAATCTCCCCCCTGTCATGTCAGCCCTCGTCTCCTCGCCTCCCCGCCACCCCGCCACCCCAATCCCCACCACCCCCCAACACACACACACACGCCACCTCAGGAGCCCCGCAAGCGACCCAGCGCCTCCGAGGTGGCCAAGCGCCTCTCCCAGCTGGTGCATCAACACCGGGGCCGCAGGTGATCAAACAACGCTCTCCTCTAGGGGACCTAGAAACATCCGCCGCCGTGGTGGCCATCTCCTCCTGCTCGTGCTCCTCCTCTTCCTCCTCCTCCTTGTCTTCGTCTTCTTCAGCCGTGTTGTTGTTTATATATAAATCAAGCGGCCAGCGTATTCCCCCAGCACAAGCTTCGCGACCTGTTCTGCTACTGCTGCTGCGTGTTGTCCTTTTGTCCTTGTGGGCGCTGCTGGCGCGAAAGCAGTCGAGCATCAGCTGTCAGGGCCGGACTGCACTGAACTGTTGGGTGTGCAGGGTCGTTGCGTTGGTCTGTCTGCTCGTGTGTGTGTGTGTCCGTGTGCGTGTGTGGAACGAGAGTGTGTGCCTGTATGTACATCCCTATTTGCGTGCTATTGCGTAAGGTGTATGTATGTATGTACGCGTGTGTTCGGTTAGGAGAGCGTGTGGCACCACTATGCACCTCCTCGGGAGAACCCCGGATGCAGCAGCAGCAGTAGCAGCAGCAATAGCAGCAGGAACCACAGTAGCAGCAGCAATAGCAGCAGTAACAGCAGCAGCGTTAGCAACAGTAACAGCAGTAGCAACAGTAACAGCAGTAGCAGCAGCAGGATAAGAGAATTAACTGTAGACACACCTCTCACTTCCACATTCCCACTGGGTGCGTGTGTGTTTGCGTCGGTGACGTTTACAACGGACTGACTTGCAATGGGCTTTAAGGGTGGGGGATGGAATGGCAGCAGCGCTGGTACTGCACCGCCGGTCCACGGCAAAACACAGCGGCAACACGGTGGTGGATATCGCGGTGGTGGAGCTACAAGAAACGCACCTCACAACCAGCCCGACAGCTTATGTGGGTAATATATCTCCAGGGCGGGGATGGCAGTGGCGCGGTGCTGCGCCATGGCCCAACGTTTTCCTTTAGTGCTGCATGTTGTCGTTTTGTTGTTATTGTCAGTATTGTTGTTAATGGTATTCCCAGCCGCATCAGCACTGTTTGGCAGTAACTGAAAGTAACTATTAATAAACCAACCGCAACCGTGTCTCCCAGCCGATTGGTGGCTGCCCGCGCGCTGTGTATGGAAGACACTCCTGCTTGATAGAGTGTGCCTGACTAACTCGCACACACACATGCATACATACATACGTACATACATACATAAACTCTTCTACACAACGATAAAACCGAAGACTAAAAATGCATCCAAGGACTGCAAGGTTTTCGCCAAGTGGTCGCAATGGATGGATGGATGGGTGGGTGGGTGGGTGGTAACTAACTTTCCTGAGCTACGCGGAAAGTGGTTCCTCGTCTTGCCGGCGGTCCGCGGGGGCTGGGAAGGAAGGAGGGCGAGCAGCATCAGTGTTGCTTCCGACGGTGGAAGGTGTGGCAGGGAAGTGGAGGGAAGGGAAGGGGGCCGGCGCGGCTGTGCAGAAGCTGCTGTTATTTCAGTGCTGGAGGCTATGAGGCTTGTGAGCGCGTATGGGGGGAGATGGCAGTGGCGGCAGCAGCAGCAGCAGCAGTAGGAGCGAGCAGCTTTTGTAGGGGAGAGGCGGCGAGGTGTGGCGGGTGGTCGGGGTTTTCCTCCTGCTGCCTGGTTTCGCCACTGGTCGGGCTCGGCCGGCTCGTCCCTCAGCCGCCGGGATTTAAGGAGAGCGGGCGGCGGTGTCTGAAAAGGAACTTGGCAGCTGCGGTTGCGCGGCAGGCAGGCGGCAGGCGGTATGCAGGCTGTTTCTGTTTGTTGGGAAAGATGAGGGGATGTGATATGTGGATCGCTTGGGTTGGCTGGTCGGGCTTCGGGCCTTTGCTTCAAGGCAGAGGTCCTCAACCTCTGGTGTCCTGGTACCGGAGCTGGCTGGCTTGTGCGTGACGATGATTGTGGGGGTGATAATGACATGATGATGATGATGATGATGATGATGATGATGAGATTTCCCATGATGATGCTGGTAAGGTCTGTTTGCGATGATGATGGTGGTGATGATAATGACGACGTACATACGTAAGGTGTTCATCTGGAGGAGGAGGGAAGGACTGTTTGCGTGGGTGGAAAAGAGGTGAAGACGCGGCCAAAGAGGGTATAGTCAAAGCATGGAAGACGCGTTGCAGACGGTGGGATAGCAACCGGCGGCACAGGTTCCCTGTCTGTTTGTTTTTCTGTGGCGGTCCCTATGCGAATGTATGTCTGCATGTCCGCCTGTCTGTTTGTCGGCGGAGGGAGTTTGAATTATACAGACTCGGAGAGATTTCCGACGTCTGCTGCCACGCAGCGGTGCGACATGGTGGTGCTATAGGACACCACATCTTAGGGTCCAACCAACTAGGTGTGTGCATGGTCTCTTCTTGTACAGATGACGACACGGTGTGCGTGTAAATTTATGGTGACTTCAATTAGCAAGAAGAGGAAATCGAGATGGAGGAGGAGGTAGAGACGGAGGAGGGAGGAGGACTTGCTGGACAGGCTAGAGGGAGGCCGCAAAGGTGAAGAAGGTACCACCATCAAGCTGTTTCCTTGATTAAGCACATTTAGGCGAAGAAAGCTCTTAGGCGCAACATCCCTTTTTAAAACCAAGGGTTCTATCTTGATTGGCACTTGTGAGCAACGGTGTTAGGGGGTTCGTTGTTACGTGTGGATGATAACCGGGTACGGCGAAGGACAGCGCTGAAGGGCAAGAAAGCCTGACGTCGAAGGCCGAAGAACGGGGGACTGACTCTTCAAATAGGGGGGTCCTTGTGAAGCAGCTGCCCGCGTTTCCAAAGCACGTATGGTGTTGGATTGTAAGGTGCCCAAGTACGTTTGCGAGGAAGAGAATGTCGCCAGGCTGGAGAGGAAAGTGCAGTGGCATATTGGAATGTGAGATTAGCGTAAGCGAGTTACAGGGCGTTTTATTGCACGGGCGAATTTACGTGCAAATCTTTCACCGTAGCATCAGTCCTCAGTTCACTTCTTGGAACGAACATCAGCATAGGTCCAAGCCCTCTCGCTTGGAGGGATATGCAAACAAACATCCTGATAGGGGTAAACTCGCACGCTACCGAGCATTCAACCGAGCACATGCATGCTTAGTTGAATGGTGAGATGCGACCCCCCCCTCATTTTGTGCTCGGCAAGCCTGCCACCGCGTACCGGATATGTTGGCGATGTTACAGAACGCTGCACCTTGGTTTCTGTGCGCATTGCGTACGTTGCTCGACCCCGCCGACCAAAACTACACGTGCCCAACTGAAGACATTCCCGGTGGTTGTGCAGCAGCTCTTGAGGCTGTTGCTGGCTGAAATCCATCCTGAGCTGTTGCAACACGGCTAACGCGGGCACGTCCCTATGCACAGCAAATAGCTGTTCCAAGCCAACAGCGGCGTCCATGTCACCGACAAGGCTCTAAACGTCTTATCTGTTCTTATGTTTAATTAAGTTTATGTATGTTATACTTTGCGCAACTTTGCAATTTGACTTTACTCTGAACAAGGTGCTGCATACAACTGCCTCTTCGCCAGCGCTTCATCTTCCGCGGCAGTTTCACGAGCCCAGAGTTGCAAGCTACGACGTTGGCTTTCGGTGCTTTTAGTTACTGCAAAGCATCCACGCAATAGTCCAGCCTGCATGCCGCGTGCGGCTATGGCCAACATGCCCACCTGCGCAACGCGCTGGCGCACCTGGTCCTCATCCGCCAAGAAAATTTATATACACTTGTACAGGCGCATTTTGCGAATCGCACGCGCGCATCTGCGCGGCAAAATTCGCTCCTGACTTTTGGGACGAGATGTACGGAGTCTTTATTCGCGAAGTACGAGTCGTACTGTACGACCGGACACATTTGTGCGAGGGGCTGCTTAACCAACAGCAGTAGCTTATATTGATGCTGCTGTTGCAGTTGCAGTTGCTCCTGCTCAACCATGCGGTGTCGAATAGTTGTTGGTGTTCCTGATGTTTTCGTGTGCCGTCTTTATCGCCTGCCGGCCGGTTTCTTTCCATATTCTGTGGCGATAAGGTGTCGTGTTCGGCGTTGAAGTTTCTCGGGTTGTTAGTAACACTTTTAAGGAAAGGGGAATCGGTGTTGCCAAGGACCGGAAGTACATTTTTTTTGACTTCGAGTTATGATATCTATTGACGTTTAGGTGGACTTTATGACGAAAGAGATTTTTTATTTGTTAGATTGTTGGCGAAATAGAATGTTACCAAAGCGGAGTGGACACCAAAGCGGAGTGGACGAGCAGTCCCGTCATTCGAACGGCCCATGTGACATGGACGTATCGCGCAGGCCTTGTTATGTAAAGCTCAAAACTTTTACCGACCGAACATATAATACTTGCGAACCCTCGAAGCCCCTGCACTGCGAGTGTTTTGCAGCCAAAAAACCTTTTGGTTTACCGAATCGATGTCTGGAGGTCATTCGATTTGCGTTGCACGGGTCGCGTGATGCTGAAAAAGCAAAAGAAGAGTTGCTTATTGCAAACGCGTTCTACATTACAAAAGAACGACGAATCGAGTCCCCATCGAGTCGTACGCCCTGCGAAAAATCTAGTGCCGGACACACAGCTACACACATTTGTCGCAACTCGAAAAGCTTCGTGACGAAACGGCGGAAATGGACACGTTACAAGATGTGGAGACTTCCACAGGGGTCTCTCTGGAGGGAAGGAGGATGGCATTGGTTGGGTTGCAAGACCGAGCGATGAACGGCCTACCCCTCAGGCCCTCTAACGCGTCGCCTCTCCCTAACGCGACCTGAACTTCACTGCCTCCTCTTCCGTTATTCGGTTATTCGCAGCATCGCCACACCAACAGTGGGCGTGTGGGCCCCAGCGCGTGGCGGATTTGGCCAACTTGCCGACAAGTGACAGAGGCCGCCACATGACTGTCGCCCAGCGCTAGTAGAGCCATGAAGCAACAAATAACGCGGCTGCGGTGCCGGCGGTGGGGAAGAAGGCTGAGGTCACCCCGCCCGGGCTGCGATGTGCCGGGAAGGTGGCCTTTCGTTCATCCCGCTTGGGGCTTATGTGGGTTTCCCTCGGCGGCCGAGTCAGAGGAGATAAAAAAAATATGTGTCCTGCCTGTTGTTCTTCCCTTTTCCTTCCGCCGTATAAATTATACGGCGCCGCCACTACCCGTCATCACCATTCTTTGCAGCTGCCGCAACAGCTGTGTACCTGGGAGTGGTGCCGGCTTGTATCCCAGTGGCGCCAGTTGCCCTTAGCTGAGCATATAACCGATATTTCCTCCTTCCTCGGCGGATGAGAACTCGGTAGGTATTCCAAGACGTACATACATACAAATCTGTACTTCTCGCCGCTCAGTTAACTTATGGATACACATACAAACATACATGTGCCCTTTACGCGCAAGAGCGCCTCTTGTGAAGCGTCTTCAGTGCGGGTGCTTGCGAAGGTAGGTCGGTCTTTGTTGTGGCCGCTGTTATAGGTACTCGAGGCCCGCAACCAAACATCTCCATTTCACATGCCCCTCCCCAGACTCTGATTCACCAAATCTGTTGTGGCAGTAGTCTTGTGGCGTGGTGGAGCAGTTTCCTCAAGGTTCCCAGGCATTACCGTTTGCGAGAGCATGTCTCCACCAGCACAAGGACGCGAGCGCAAGACGACTCCGCCTGGCGAAGGATCTAACGACTTAACCGAAAACCGAAATGCAACAACCCCTTTTAACGACCCAAGGGAATCCAGAAACGGGCGACGAGTCGCGGACACGACCCACGTCTGCGTCCCTGCGATAGAGCTCAGAAGCAGCAGAGCGATTACTCAAGGAGGCGCTACAAAATCGGGTTCGGGAGCTTTCCCGGTCTCCATGTCTCTCCTTTCACACACATGCACACACATACACACACACGTGCGCACATGGAGCCCTCCCGACACGCGCTGCTTTGGCCAACGTGTGGTGTAAAGGTTGCGCTCCCCCTTCGCTGTGTCAAAACTCGTAACAAGTACAGCCCGGAGTGATCTTCGCTGAGGAGATGAACATAACGGCCAAACAAACGGACAGATAGACAGACAGACGTACGAAAATGAAGCTTTAGGTCAGATCTCGAATTCAACCCAGGATCAGCATTGCCGCGTCCATAACCAGCCAAAGGCCTCCAGATAGATAGATAGATAGATAGACGACCCAATCTCCCAACAACCGACCGTACCATATCGCTGTTGCCGTTCGATATCGCTGTTAGACACAAGAGTAGACACACAGACACAAAGACCAGGACGGGACGGGAGGCTGCGGGAGGGGCACAAGACCGGGGGGGGTATGGCACCATTTGGCCAAGATGGCGGTCAGCAGCAGCAGCAGCAGTAGCAGTAGCAGCAGCGGCGATAAGGATAACGGGTTGAATAACGGTGACCTGCCGGCCCGTCCATCCCACCCATCCCCCCATTTACCGTGCACGCCCGAAGGTGTCCCGTTCCCCTTCCTTACAAGGCCGCGGCCGCGGCTGTGGCTGCGACAGGGAACACACAGCCGCCGGGCCACCATCCCTACACCCTCTTCACACATCCATACACACATATACCACACGATACAGCACGCAACATTCCTTAGAAACCACCACAGCTACCATCACACCATCACGTCCTCGCTGCAATCATCATGGCCACCGCTCGCCATCACCATCACCATCACCATCACATTCACCCTTGCTAGCATCACCACTACCACCGCCGCCACCATCACCACCACAATCACCATCACCAGCTGCTGGCTGCTAAAAACGTCCCTAAACCAGAATCCTCTTCTTCCGCCCTCCATGGTGCGCCCAAAGGCGGTGTTGAACTCCGGCCCATCCAACCAGAGAGTTACCCAAAGTTGCCTGTTTGCCTGCCTGCCTGGATTCCTTTCTTCCTTTCGAGGACGACCAACTTCAAGCGCGTCAAAGCAACCGTCCGCTACGTAGATGCCTCCCCTGCACCACCACCTCCATACGGCACAGTATCGTGATATACAACATACAGGCCCCCCAGGCCTCTGAGGGCCTTATCCAAACGGATAAAAGCAACGCACCAATCCAACGGTAAACAGACAGTACGACAATGGACGGGTTCCGAGGGCCCCAGGACAAGACACCCACCCACACACGCATACATACCTACACACATACATACATACCTACGTACAGAATAACGCAAAGCCGCCAGACCTGATGGGAATGGTCAAAACTTCATTTTGGTCCCCCGTCCATTCTGCCCCCACTTCCTCATTCTCACGGCGACTTGACATCAGAGGAGTCTCGTGTGTTGCGATGTGTGGCGCCGTCCAGTTACCGTCCGTGCCTCGTTTTGCAGCAATTTTGACAAATTGTACGTCTGTACGTCTGCAGGGTGGTGGAAATCTCATGAGTTGCATTTTTGCGTCGTCATAGTGTCTATGCGGGTGGGTAGGTGGATGGGTACAAGATTGCCGTACAGTACCTCGATCAGATCGTACCTTTCCCGTACGTTACCTTGGAACCAAACTACTATTTACCGAATAACCATTTTCCAACCAACAACCGTCCAACCAACAACGAGTCGCTGCGAACGCTTCCCACCTCTCTTTCTCTCTCCTCCCCCAGCGGCCTCTGCACGCCTCGCAACCTCATTAGCCTCCCGGGGGAGCCCCACCACACACACACACACAGAGGCGCACACAGACACACTCGCATTCACATCCATTCACATCTTCACACAAAAAGGCAAGCAAAGCACAAAAAGACACTAGCCTCGAACGCTGAGAGAATCCCGTGCCCGAACCCGTTCGTTCCGACCAATCATACTAATCCACAGTCAATGCCCGAAGCCCTGCAGGCAGGAGCAGCCAATCGGCAGCCAACCAACCAGCCAACCAAGCAGGCAGGCAGGCAAGGGCTGACAGATTGACAGGTTTACTCCGAGCGCTGCAGGGAATGAACGCACGCGGGGTCCTGTTCCGCCCCCCTCTGTCAATGCCCTCCTCACCAATTCCTTCTTCTGCTTCTCGACTGCGAGGAGCGCCGTCGTTCAACGCGGACAACTGGACCGCGCTCGCACACAGACACAGACACAGACAGACACACACACACAGACGTACACACACAAAGCGAGGACAAGACGGCGGGTGCGGACGGAGTGGCAGCAGCGGCTAGTAGCAGTCGCGGCCCTACCTGGCGCTCGCGCCTCTCACATCTGCGCTCCCATAACGACCGTCACAGCCCTCTAAACGGCCTCTCACGCCGACACCGACAACGCGAGCCCGTCCCTCTCTCGCTCTCCCCACCTTCCCTCTCTCTTCCCTCTACACGTACAACCCTTTCCCTGGCCCACAAACGATCCCCCGGGAACCAGATGGTGGTGGTAGTGGGGGGGGCGGCCCGAGTTTTTCAACAACCGTTTGTTTGTAAAAATTCAGTACTTGTACAGTTCCTCTTGGTTCGTCCGCAGCCCCCCGGCGGCCTTTGCAAAGGGCATCCTCGCACTCGACACGAGACTCAGCACAGCCGGCAATAAAGGGGGGTGGGGGGGAAAAGGGCGCGACCCCATCCGCGACGGCCCCATCCGCCACCACCATCGTCCTCCACGGCCTCCTGTGTGTGTGTGAGACAAGAGGTCGGCGTGTTACTTGTCTTCTTGCGTCGCTTCCCCCGCCGGCCCGGCTGCCCCTGCTCCTGCTCCAAGGGGACCTCTGAGCGCGGCGGCAGCTGCGCCGCCAAAGGTGGTGGTGCCCACTGTCGCCTGCGCCGCTTCCTGACCCGCCGTCGCCGTCGCTGCCGTCGCCGCCGCTACCGCACCACAACCGCCAGCCGATGTCCCGGTCGCCGCTGCTGCCCCTGTCGCACTCACACCTTGACCTTCCTGTGCAGCTGCGAGATGCTTCCTGGAAGGCGCTGCCTGCGCTGGAGGCGCATTGGACCCTCCTCCCCCTCCTCCTCCCCCTCCCCCTCCGTTGGGGCCTACCGGCTGCCCCAGGGCGCGTGCGGGCGGGTGGGCAGTGGCCGCCAGGGCCGCCAGGAAGGGCAGTCCGTGCTGCTGCCCGTCACGCCGCTCCTGGTCCAACCGCCGCATGCGCTCCTGGCTCCGGGCAGCTGCACCCGGCTTCCGACGACCCACCTGGGGGGGCACGGGGGCGGTGCGGAAGGGGGAGGGGGGAAAGGGATGAGACGAGAAGCAGGGGGGAGAGAAAGTGAAAGGGTGCCACCAAAGGAAGCCAGGCGTATCTATCTATCTATCTATCTGGTCTATCTATCTATCTATCCATCTATCTATCTATCTACTTGCCTGTGTGCGACTGGCTACCTCTCAGTCTGTTTGCCTCCCCCCCTCCCGCTCTGCCCTTTCTTCTCCTTCTCCCGGCGTCCGACAGCGTATACTCTCCCTCCCCCCCCTTCTCTCTCCCCCCTATAATCGACTTTAACCAGCCAGCCAGTCAGCAGCCAGCCAGTCAGGCATACGCTTGCCCAGCCCCAGCTAGGTGCCCAGCAGGGGACTGTGGCCGCCCACACCGCCCACGTAGCCCAACCCAGGGCTAACCCCGTCCTAAATACTTCCTACAACCCTCTCCCTCTCCCTCCCCAGCGCCCCACACCCCTGTATTGACTCTCCCTCACATCGCCCCAGGCAGGTAGGGGTGCCTTTCACCTCCTCTACCTGACACACCCTTACATTCTCGTATCCAGTCACCCACCCATGCACCTTCTATGCGCTCCATCCCTTTATCCACTCTCTCTCGACACACACACACACGCAGGTATAAAGGGGGGAAAGCCCCCATTTTTCGCACAAACAACTTGTATCCAGCCAAATGCCCTCACCATCATCACCTTCCCCCTCACCACCCAAAACATTAACGGCTCCCAGCTCCCACTCATCAAGCATCATGACTGGACCCCAACGACAGCTCCTCCTCCCATCACCATCACCATTACCACCACCACTCCACACGGAACCCACCTGGTACGCGGCCACCGTCGCGTGGTCCATCTTCCCGGGCGGCCGTGCCATGGGCGCCAAACCCATAAGGCCCCCATGCTTCAAATCGGTGTTCAAGCTAGGTCCCGACCCCCCGCCTCCAGCCCCACCCTCCCGGGAAAGCAAACTCCGCTCCCTCTCCCGATTCCGAGCCTCCACGTGCTGCCGCTGCTCCTCCGTCACGTCGTACACGTGCTGCAACAAATGCTCCGCCAGGCCCCGCGCCGTCATGCCTTGACCGCCGTGGTGGTTAAGGTGGTTGCCGAAAACGGACCCGTGGGTCACCCCCGAGGAGCTGTCACTCCCGCCTCCGCCTCCGCCGCTTCCGCTTCCGCCGCCGCCGGCAGACATGCTTCTGTCCGCCTCAACGATGACGTCCCGCAGCAGGTCCATCGCCTTGGCCTGGCACTCCGCCGGCGTCAGCGCAGGGAGGTCGTTGTTGTCCGCGGACTCCAAAACCTGAAAACGGAGGAAAGAAGGGGAAAGGAAAGGGGAATAATGAAATGAACTGCCGGAGGAGAGGGGGAAGGGGAGGGGGAAAGGACAAACCACGTGAACGCGTGAAGCTGCTGTCAAGGAAAGAGTGTACAGAGCAGCAGAACTGACCAGCAGGCGGTTTTGAAAGAGCCGACCTCGGGAAGTGGTAAGGGGAGAGGTTGCATTTAAGGAGGGGACCTCCGGAATGCGATTTAACATTGCGCAACGGTCGACAGCGGCAGCGGCAGCAGCGGGTATTACAGCAGGGAGTTTAAACAAGAGGTTCTTTTTTGGGGGGGGGAAGGGACGAGGTTGCGGAGAACTGGTCAACCGTGTGGAACGGAAATTCCTGCTGACCCTTCCCAACTTGCAGGTCGATACGTAATCAGGTTGTAAGATACGAGGTATGGACTCGCAACACGCCTCGGGGGGGGTGCCCTTTCCTCCTTCCTTCAAACCCATTCCTCTCTCCGACCCCCAAATCCCCTCCAAAAAAACCGCAACCCCAACCCCCAAAACTTAACCCCCAAACTTAACCCCCAAACCCCAACCCCCCCCCAAATCCCCCAACCCAAACCCAACCCCCCAAACCCAAACCCCTACCTGATGCCGCGCCATCTTTCTGATCACGGGGTCGAAGTTATCCGCCACTCCGTCCGACGTGAGGAAGATGAAGTCCCCCTCCTCTAGGAAGGTGAGGCACAGCAGCATGTTGGCCAGGTCGGGCTCCTCGCCCACGGCGTAGCCCAGTGCGCCGGGGCACCAGCGCGGGTCACTGAGGCAGGGGAGAGAGGTTGGGGGGGGGAGAGAGGTGGGGAGGGAAGGAGGGAGGGAGGGAAGGAGGGAAAGACGAACCACACGCGATTGAAGCTGCTGCCAGGGCAAGATAGTAGCAACCGAAAGGGAAGGAGGGAGGGGAGGAGGCAGAAATTGGGCTCGGGAGCAGGGGAAGCCTTCCCTCTCTGCCCACATTCCACGACTTCACCCATCCCCACCGGGAAACCCGAAAACGGTCAACCCTTAACAAATCCCTACCCCTCGCTCCCCATCCCTCCCTCTGCCTTCCTCGCTCCCTCCATCTCCCTCGCACTCACCGCGCCCCCTCCGCATGCGCCGCCGCCGTTACCTCCTCCACCGTCCTTTTGCTGCTCCGGTACACGTAGGCGGCACTGTCCCCCACCGTCATGGTGATGGCGGCCCAGCGCCCCGGGTGCCGTACCCACTTGAGCGGGAGAACCACACTCACGACCTGGGGGGGGGCCCGGGAGAAGGGGGAAGGGAAAAACACGCAAAGGAGCGGGAAACAGCCGCCAAACGGGAAGGGGAGGAGAAGAGAGTGAGGTGCGGGGAAAGGGGCCCAGGTAGACAGGTAGATAGAGGGAAGAGGGAAGAAAGGGAAAATTGCTCTTGATGCAAGGGAAGGACCCCTGATGCATCGCCGCATGGAAAGGAGAAGAACCCCTCCCTTCTTCCCCCTCCCCGCAACCGCTTTTCCCCTCTTCGACAAAAAAACCGCCTCCCTCCTCCGTGCCACCGGGGCCCCCCCAAATCAGCTTATTCACCCCCCCCGGCTGCGGGCAGGCGGGGGGAAGACAAGCCACAATCAAGAGGAGCGCTCGGTGCTCACCAGTGTCGTCAGTGTCCCGAACTGCTGCAGAATCAGCTTCTGAGAGGCGGAGATGGAGTCCAGCAGGTGCCGGAACACCGTATGGCAGTCCAGGGAGGAGTCGGCTGGCGTGTGTGTGTTTTGGGGGGGGGGAGAAACAGGGGGTGGGTAGTGAGGGTGTGTGGTGTTGGAGTTGGGGGGAAAGACGAACCACACACGATTGAAGCTGCTGCCAGGGCAAGAGAGTATCAAACGTGTGAGTTGGGGGGGAAGGAGGGTCCCGGAGGGGAACCGTGTGAAGAGGGGGAAGTAACCAGCAGGCGGAGGAGGAGGAGGGAGGAAGGGTCGGGTTGGGGCGTTACACGATGGGGAAACATTAGGAATGACGTGGCGGAATAATCCGCTGGAGGAGGACAAGGGGAATCATATGACTTGATGCAATAAACAAAAAATAAATAAAGGAGGTGGGGGGAGCAACTGGAAGGGAGCTAAGATGCCGTCATTTCCCAGTGCCTTATTGCCATTCCGCCATCCGCTTGGGCGAGACAGCGATGTGCCGCGACGTGCCGCAATAGTGCCGCGCAATAGTCAAAGGGGGGACCGGGGCAACGGTTGCTGATATGTAAGGGGGATTCGTCCTCCTGCCAGAGCAGAGGGCAACATTATACACAATACACAATACCTTCCCCCCATTCATACACAGTAATGGATGATCCATGCCGCCCCCCCAAAAAAAGCCCTTGGGGACAGCTGGCTTGTTGGGAGAAGGGAGATGCCCTTTGGTAAGGGGGAAGGTTACCGGGGGGCGCAACACAACAAGAACAACAACAGCTTACTCTCGTGCTGTTTTAGAGCGTGGTGCATGTGGTTGAGGCAACCCAACACGGCACATCGAGCGGCACGCCGAGGCGGTTCGCCCCAGTTCACTCCGTCCGCTACCGCCAAGATGGCTCCCTCCGGATAGGCGAGGATGCCGAAGCAGTCAGCGACGGGCTCGCCGTTGCGCCTGCCCGTCGGCCCGAGATCGTACATGGACACGGAGATGCCATAGGCCCAGTCCACGGGGTTGTCCCAAGTAACCGGCAGATCTGCAAGGAGGTGTATCCATTTGTACGTGCAGTTGAATTTATGGGCGAACTGTGGCGGCTTCATGTGAGGCTTGCTGAATCCGGCCGGTTAAGGTAAGGCGGAAAATGCTGGCTTCTCGGCACATGTGCTTTAATGCACCTGTTACCTCACCTGCGGCAAATTGTTTATACACAGCCACGCCAGTGTCTGGCCCCGAGTGAGAAGCGACGATGGTCGTGTTTGGCTTGCTGAGGTGGAGATTCGCTTCAGGAGGCTCTGCCTCAGCCCCCTGCTTCCCAGACAACGTGCCACATTCCAGCTTGTTTGCAGCTGATTGCTCCCTGAGTAAGGTCCGGTGAGCAGCTTTGTGTCAACGCGAAAAGGTCGCCGCCAAAGCATAAAACCCTTTGCTTACTTGAGCCTGACACCCAGGTGTCGGAAAAAGTTCAAAAACATTCAAGGGCCCTCACTCATCAGCGGGGCAGCCGCGTAACACAGGCGGCGAACGGGCGCTACCAAAATGAAAGTGCCTGAGTTCCAACCCTGCTAAAATGCACACGAGTAAAGGAGATATATACAATCTTAAGGTCTCCTATCAGTTATGAGAAGTCCTAGACCCGGACCCGTAGCCCTGCACTCCCAAAGAGTAACTAAGACTTCCCACGTCGTGAAAGGGGGCTGCTTGCAAGAACGCATTTGCGTGACTCCTGCGTGCAAAATCCGGCAGGTCATGAAAAAGTTTCCATACCACACAGAGGTCAGGGACGAAGTACGACAGTTTTCCGGTACAGCTTTTAGACCCTTGTGTAACTCATGGTTTTACAAAATATGCCAGTTCCCCAACAGATTATGTAAACTTGCTAACACGTTGGGAAAGTTCCGTCCTGCCAATCTCCGGCCAGTTCGGTCAATCACTTGATCATAGGCATGCTGACTTCAATACACTTACGACGAAATAAGACAACTTAACTTGCCCCCAAAATCATCAAAACGTTGCACCAACGCGATTTGTTCATCCAGCAGCCCAAAGTAAATCGTCTTAGTCATCATCATCCACCAGGTCCACTACCTCCACAGCCCCGGACGCCTTTACCGCTTCCTGAGGCATGCCTCCACACCCTGACAAGCCCCGCGCAGACCTCAGACCATACACGCTTCCTAGCCCCGAAACCATCGACCCGACACAACCAGCCTCAGCACCCGCCCGCTGCCCTCCCGCTTCCTGCCAGGCCAAGCTTCGGCTTCCACCCGCCCCGCTGTGTGCAGCCGACTGGGCCCCCGTCAACATCTCCCTGTCATGCCGCCCCGCTCTTCTCTCCTCTCCTCTCCTGTTCCCCCCCTTGTTAACGTTCCCGTCCTCGTCATCGCTGTCCAGAAGGACGTGAACAACCCTCTCATCCGTGCACGTGCCTTCAGCCCCACCGCGCAGCTCCCACCCACGTTCCCTCCCCTCCTCTCCTCTTCTCTTGCACACCCCGTCCTTGCCACCGCCGCCTCCGTCGCTGCTCCGATGGTGACCTGCCACCACATCCCTGGAATCCGCACATGCATGCCGCGCCTCAGGAGCGGGGGCCCCAGGCGACACAGGCAACAGTGGCACCAGCGAGCGTGTCCCTTGTAGGGCTTGTCCAGGCCCGTCTTTCAAGAATAACAACTGAGAATGTTGCTGTTGCTGAATCTGCTGCTGCTGCTGTTGCTGCGGATCGTGCGTCGGTCCGTTGCTCCGAAACCTGGCCAACGCAGCCTCAGCACAGCGCCGTCGGAGCTCCTCAGCGGATGGCGCCGAGCCGCCGTCATCAGCCCCCGGCCCCGCCCCCAACCCTGATACTAAACCCAGATCCGGGCCCCGCACAGGCCCCACACCTCCTCTTCCCACCATCTCAGGCCTAGAATCGCCATCCCGACCCGGACAGGACTCCACGTTGCCGCGGCCGCCAGTTATACCTCGAGCCTGCGTGCCTGCACCCTCTGCTGCCGACGAGGTCCCCACAGGCGCCGTCGCGGCAGCTGCCGTCCCACTTGCGCCACCCGTCATCGCCGTATGCGGTCGCTGCATGTGCGCGCTGCTGCCGTCGCCGCCGCCGCTGCTGCCACTGGGCCCCACCGCCGGCACCGTCGCAGCTGCGGCCATAGACCCCGGCTTCTCCACCGGCGCCGGCGATCTCTCTGCTCGTCGTTTGGCGCCGCGCGCGATGTCGTCAATGCGTTGCTGTCCCGGCGGCAGCGGAGGCGGCTTGTGCTGGTGATGTTGCTGCTGCGGGTGCTGTACATGTTGCTGCTCTGTTTTGGTGGCAGGTGACTTCTTCCTGCTCCCGCTGGCGACCTTGGGTTTGGGTTTGGGCTCTGGCTCCCGGATTTTTATGTATGTGCCGCCGCACGTGCGGAGGTGCGTGTGGTAGCCGCAGTGGGGGTCCTGACAGGCGGCAGCGCGGTGGCCGCTGCGCCTAGCGGGGCCGCGGATGTGGCGACAGACGAACAGACGAACGAACAGCACATCATTAACCAGCAGGAAACACAACCGGAAGGATCCCGATACATGATAGTGGTAGTGATAATGGTAGTGGTAGTGATAATGGTAGTGGTAGTGGTAGTGATAATGATAGTGGCAGTGATGATGATAGTGGTAGTGATAATGGTAGTGGCAGTGATAATGGCAGTGATAATGGTAGTGGCAGTGATAGTGATGGGAAGGAAGCGATCAGCGGCAGCAGTGTATCGCCCTACCGTTGGCCTACCACTCCCCTGCCGCGCCCCGACACGGGGTTTCTCTCCTCCTTGCCGCCCTGCCCGCTCCCCCCTAACACCCCGGAGGTCAACGAATCCATCCTTAATCCAGGTGCACTCAATCCGGTACCTGCACCACCACCCACCTCCACCTCCCACTCGACAGATCCACTCGTGTCGCTTTAGCCCATTTCCCGCCCCCCTCAGGACCCACCCGATACAGTCCGCCTCCTGCGGCGGCCGGTTCATGGACCTCTTGATCACCTTCTTGCAGCGCTCGCACTCCCACCAGTGCGTCCGGTAGTTGTCCACCTCGCCATGCATCGAGTGCGTGGTGGTGATACGGTAGCCGCCAGGAGGCCGCTGTGCAGGAAAGAAGATCACACGGGCCGTGCGGGAAGGGAAGGGAAGGGATCCGTTCGTGCCAAGGACCCATTTCAAAAACGCTTTACAACAACGCATTTCGTCTCTCACAACGGCCTCTCCTTCGGCCTCCTGGCGGAAGTTAAAAGAAGCTTCTGGACGGAGACGGGCGGGCGGGAGATGTGGCGAGACATAGTGGGGGGGAGAATGGCGACGCGTGCCGGATCCCACGCATCACGCCGCGCGGTCACACATACATGGTCGAAATGCCGTGTGCCGTACAAGGCGTCGTACTGTCGTACAGGACAGGTATTGTGTGTACCTGCGGGTCCGGTATGGTGCTCTTGTTGATTTTGTTCATGAGGTCGACGAAGGGCGGACCGTGGCCGCCAGGGTCGGGGTCTCGGATGCGCAGCGTCATGTTGTGAGCATGAATCATCTCGTGAAGCAACACCTGCGCGATGCGAACATGCACTGGGTTGGGGGTGGCTAATATGTGGCGCGCACAAGGCGCGCACAAGGTGGTGTATGGCAGGGGTGTTGAGGTGCGGCAGGCATGCGGCATAACGATACTCACCATCTTGAGGTCGCGTACAGGTCGTAGCTGTGGAGGTTGCAATGGGGCCGCCAGCCAGAAGGTTTTAAGAGGTGGGCCGCCCGGATTCGTTTGCGTAAGAGAGTGTCGGGAATTTGATGCGGAATGTTGGTTCAGTAAAGATTGGTATGTTGATGGCTATAGCTCAAGGCGGATCGGCAGACCTGGAGTAAGCAGCTAAAAGGACTTACTGCACGTTTTAATTGTTCCTTTCTAAGCTGCCAGAAATATGTAAAGCAGTTCTGTGTAGCAGAGCATCCCACCCACGCTCGCTTGTGAACCTTGGGTCAAGCCGGAATCCACACCTTGAGCAGTGGCTCGCTGAGCTTAATCTGACAGCCGCTGAGTGGGTGGTATTTGCAGGTACCACCGCACCTGCGAGGCATTTCAGGGCAGTTTGTATCAACTACGTTTCTTGCCACGTTTGGATGTTGCATGAGCCCAGGCGCTCATGGCCCATGCAATTGATTTGGCAGGCTGGCCTTGCCTCTGTGACTCATGTGTTACATGTGTATGTCTATAGCTGCAAGGATTGGTGTAAGGTGCCTCGCTCTTCACTCACAGCGTCATCCGGCTGCTGCTCCACTCAACAGTAGTGTTACCAGATAGCACACCGTTGAAATATAGGTCGTTATAGTACATAAACAAGGCATGTATATCAGGAAACTCGTCACCTAGCTCTTCAAACTCATCCATTCTTCTATGTTGGTATTAACACTCCCCTCCTGTTGGTACACAACAAATAATAACACACAGCCACCAATGGTGCATAAACATCAATATGTCCCGTGGTCAAGTGAGCACCCAGCAAACATGTACGGCATGCTGAGCCTGCTGACACAATTCCTTTCGTAACAGATGGACAGTCCGTGATCACCGTTTCTGCTGCTGATCACTTACGAAATGCTAAAGCTAGCGCGTGTGTGCACAGTATATGGGCGGCGCTCCCTCCTTGCAGCCAGTCATGGGAGCTTGGAGCTGGAGTCCCAGGCTTGGCCAACGCCAACGCTGCTTGGAGCGCTTGCTTTAGGTATTCGGGGCATCAAGAAATCCGCCCAGCAGGTGTGCTCTAGTGCGTCTTGTCCATACTATCCGTAAATGAGTCATTCGCCGACAGCGACATTGCAGTCGCGCTACATCGCGCCCTTATCTTACCTCTTGCCATTTGATGCCATCTACCTTTGCGAGACGCGCAAAGGGCTGCCTGCTGGGTTTCCTCCCACTCATCCCCGTACATCATACATAGGGGTGCCCCTCTCGCAGGGGAGCAGGGACTGCCTCGGGAAAGGGGGCCGTTGGTGAAGCTTAACCACCCTGTAACGACATACATACTCCACACCATACTACCACCACACGCCACCCCATCATCCCTAGCCTGTCCCATTCCGCCTCTTCCATCCCTCCGCTGAAACGGCCGGCGTTTTGACCTCCGCGCACATCCGGCCGCCCCGCTCCTGATCTCAACACAATGCCCACATCCCACATTCCACACAGGCCATCCGCACCACCCCACCCCAACAGGGTCACACTCTCCCGAACTAACACTCTACGGCGCCAGAACTCTCTCCCTAAGACCCGATCTTAAGTCTGACCTCCTCGCCCCATGCCTACCTCTCCTCCTCATACCATAACCCTCCTCCCCCTCCTCCTCCCCCTCCTCCGCCCCCTCCTCCTCCCGCTCCCTCCCCTTCCCTTCCCTTCCCCTGCCCTCCGTGCCCAGGTCCGTGCTGGCGACCTGGTCCAGCGGGAGGGTCGGCCCTACCGGGTGTCCCGCTTCCACTGGATGCACGGCCAAGCCCGGGCTGCCGGGTTCGTGACGCTGGACCTGGTGGACCTAGCCACGGGGGCGCGTACCTCAGAGAAGTTCAGATTGGAAGATCAGGTAGGGGTTGTCAGGGAGGGAGGGGGGCTGCTTCACGAGGGGAGGGATTTTTTTGGCTAGGTTTGGGTGCGGGGTGAGTAGCCCCGAGGGATGGTGTCCAGGAAGGGCTTTTTGGGGCGGGGAAGAGAAGAGGCCCGGGAAGTGGGGTGGGGAGGGAAGGAGGGGTTAAACGGGGTAAGCTTATGCAGAGCAGGGGACGGGGCGGTATGGATGTCTGGCAGGGGATGCGACGGAGTGTGCCGGTTGTTGCTGATGCTGCGGCTGCTGTAACCTGATGCAGCTGCTGCGGCTGCTGCTACTGATGTGGCTGCTTCTCGCGTTGTGCTTCTGCCTGTGTCTCTGTCGCTGTAGATGATGTCGTTGTTGTTGTTAATGGTGGTGGTGGTTGCGTACAGGTGGAGCTGGCCGACGTGGAGAGCAAGGACATGCAGGTTCTGTACCAGGATGACGACGGCAATGTGCACGTGATGGACGGTACGACGTACGAGCAGGCCGTACTCAGTCCGGATCTGTTTGGCGAGGGTCGCAAATGGCTGGGAACTCCGGAGCTGACGGTATCAGTTAGCTACTTTGAAGGAGAGCCCGTGGCGGGTGAGGTGGGGGGGGGGCTGGGGGGGGGGGCTGGGGGGGGGCCGAAAGCGATATGGATGACGATGATGAGGATGATGACGATGATGACGGTAATGGCGATCATAAAGCTTTGGCTTACCCAGGTTATCGCGCAGGGCTGGCGGGACGTTTGGGGCAGGAAACCCCGCCGTGAGGTTTTTGGGGGAGGGGATATACGTTGGGGAATAAGGTTCGTTGCTGAGCGTGGGAAGGATGGGATTCGTTAGGAAGGGTGGCATGTCGCCCATAGCTGACGTGAATGGGAGGGCCCCCAGCCTGGGCATGTACAACTAGGGACTGGACTTGGGTTTGGGTTTTTCCCGGGGCGAGCTAGGAGTACATCGCAGTCGACCAGTCTCTTAACCTGTTGCTTGTGATGAATATACGACTGTTCGGCATTTCAATTCTTCCGTTGGAACCGAGGCCCTTCATGTAGAGCCCTGGTAAGAGCTGCTCTCTTGCGCGCTACTAAACAAAAAGTTAAGCTGTGATATTGCTGTGTTGCGTCTTGTTCGTTGCCGCGTTGCCAATGGTATAATCTGAATTTCACGCCGGCCGTCGCGCTTGCCCGTTCGCAGCCAAGTTGCCGTACAAGATTCCCGTTGAGGTGCTGGATGCACCGACGGCGGTGGTCAAGGAAGACGGCACGTCGTCGCGGCATGTCGTGGTTGAGGGCGGCATCAGCGTTGTGGCACCGTCGTTCGTACGTAAGGGAGACGTCATTGTTGTACGTACGGAAGACGGGACGTACATGACGAAAGGGTGACCTTGGCCAATTAGGGACTCCTGCTTTGGGAGGAGTCGTCTTCAATAACGTGCAGCTGCCGTCATGCTTCGCCTATCGCGCAGGATCCAAAATTTGTTTTTCCTGGAATTCGGGAGGTTGGAGAAAGGTGCCGATCGCAATTCGCAGATCTCGCATTTTTATGACTTTGAGGCGGCGGCGGTGATTAAGCAAGCCTGCAAAGGGTCTCAGGCGTTCTTTCGACGCGCAGGTGGCCCGTGATGTGTCCAAAAGCGTTGTTGCCAGCATATTTTTGCGTTACAGATTTAACTTTTGGGAGAACCATAACGTGAGTTCCCCTGCAAGGGCGTGGGCCGCTGAACAATTTGCGCGAGACAGCTACGGGACGGCCCCGTGTGGCGGCCTAGGTCTGCCTGGAGAATGGCGCATGTGTTGTGATGGCTTGAACTCTTAAGAGAGGATTGAAATGGAAGGAGCTTGGTATGGTATGGGGATAGGCCGTCCCAACAATGGGACAGGCAACGTGCCTTCGCGGAGCTTCGCGAGTGTTCCAAAACTCGAAGGACATCCCTATAAGGGTCTCAAGTATACATATTGCATTCTCGGGCTGCTATAACTATAACCAGTTGTTTCACTTTTGTAAACGATGGTTGGTTTGGCAGTTGCTGTTCGTTAGGTCTCCATGCGCAATGGATTCGCGTCAGCAGCTCAGCACCTTTTACGTGCTGGATTGTTTTCGCCAGGTTCAAACAGGTTCTTGTACTTAGATATTATTGTCTAAGCAAGCATTCGACACAGTACTCTCGTCAAAGTTGCAGTCGAAGGAAAAGATTTTATCCCTTTTGGGAACAAATCCTGCGCAGAGCTTTTCGGCCTGAAGAAGTAACTCATATTGGTATTTGCCGTTTTGCTCTAGTGCTCTCCAGGCCACAGTCATGGCCTCAGAAGACGAGCGTGGTTTGGCGCTGCGCACTACATGGATGGATGTTGAGCAAGATTCGTCGAGCGAGGGCTGGTCTGGCCTACCTCCAGAGCTGCTCGAGGTCGGTTAGACGTGGAGCGACGCTATGTATGAGTTTTCAGGAGGAGACACTTGCAACCACGCGAAATGCCTATATGTTTGTTGGTGTTTCGGAAGGACTTCAAAAATACCAAATCCTGAGAGCGAAGTTTAGGGTTGTTTCACGTCAGATGAGGAAGATGGGGTGGGATTGCTGTAGTTCAAGGGGTGTTCGCTTTAAATTGCTTGCAGATGATTGGGTCCAATCTCACGGAAGGAGCGCACTTGCAAAATGCCGCGATGGTCTGCAAAACGTGGAACGCGAGCATTGCGACAGGTGCGTGGTGTGTGCCACGACTTAGTCCAATTACTTCAAAACAATTTGCGTGCAGCATTGTTGTTAAGATACAAGCGCAAGGCGAAGGGGTGCGTGTGGAGGCATGATAGCCCGGCCCTGGCAGGTGGGAGGCCGCGAACCCTTTTGCGCCGAAGAGCTCCACAAGTTGAAAGCTTTTAGGAGGTAGTGATCCAAACATTGCTCAACTTTATCCTTTCCCCTGGCAGCGTCGCGTCGCGGACACACCCTTAAGCAACATTTGTCATGCCCGGAAGTCAGAAAAATCCTCCAGTCGTGTCCTAGGGCGCACTCCTCAGCCCCTCCAGCCCCTTTGCGACCACGAATAGAGTTACAAGTTACAAGTTCCGCACACAAGTGTGTCCGTAAAAGCCGGGGGGCCCATGGACGAATAGAATCCACTAATCCCTGTGCAGACTTGCGTCTCCACAACACGACACCTTCCCTTCCCCCCTTCTGTCCCCGCGTTTCTGATTTCCGAAACCCCCCCCTCACATTCTTTTCTGCTCCATCCTTTCTTCTCACTCGTACCATCCGTGCTTACTATCTTCCTATACCCCACCCTGGGCCCCTAACTCGTTCGGCTCTTGGTCGGATGTCAACACGCAGGTCTCACCAATATGGAGGTCGACATGCACAGCGACCCCGCGATGTGGAGAGCCAAAATAGGGAAGCTGCAGAGCCTCATTCGCAGACTGAGATGCGTCGTTATCCACGTCAACACTGCCATCAGTGACGAGATGCTGTTTCAAAACATTGCACTGGTGCAGCAGCTCAAGGGCGTCTCTGTGAGTTTTTAGATTCCCCTGCCACCCTGACACGCCCACGGCCCGAGATTCATGCAGCGTTCAAATTTTCTTGCCTGCTATATCGTATCAATGCGATACGCTTGGGATCTTTAAAATTTGGTTTGGTTCGCTCTGATTCGGTCTGGTCACATCTGGGTTGGGTTGGCCTGGAAAACCATCTGACACCCAAGTTTGATCTGGGTTGGCCTGATTCGATTTGGGTCGTTGTGATCCGATTTGACTCGATCTGATTCGATCTGGGTCGATCGGCGATCCTTCTTCCTTATCACGTCCTCCCTCTAGCGTGTATCCTCTCCCAACTCTGTCCTCATACAGACACACACACACACACACCCCACGGATTTAGAGCTGCTCCCTTCCAAGATTGCCTCTATATTGTTTATGTGGACTATAATATAGTCCACAGACGCGTACCTGCAGAATGAGTGCCCGCTATTTTCCCCTGCCTGCCGTCTGACTTCTACTTCAGCGCGCAATTGCGCTCACATTTTCTCGTTTCAGGTTTTAGGCCTTGTAGCCACGGCACCACATGTAGCCACGTCATGGCATTACATGCCGGACACGTGGGACTCGTCCCTTTCCCTTTACCTCCTCGGAGCTCCTAATCTCCTTCCTTTTTCTTCTCACCCGCGCATTGGCCTTGGATATGGGATGCTATGTTGCCGTTGCTACCGCTCCACATACTTGACAACATAGGTAGGTCGTTGTCGGCAGTAGAGCTACACAGCCTCCAGGCATTACGTTGCTGCGGGAGCGAGAGCGCTTTTCTTGTCTTGCACATGGTTGCATATCTTTTGCACTCGTGTGTTGTTGTTGCTGCAAAATTATAAACGGCAAGATTGGGAGCCAGAGGGACGATCAGAATTTACAAGATTTTTACTAGACTAGAGCACTTTTTGCAACGCCTTGAACGCGGGTATTTGGTTTCTCATACTGACTTTGCATCATATAATTTTCCCTCCCCCCTTCACGGACGCCTTTCGGTCAGTTCTACGTTTGGTACACTCTTGCCCTGGCAGCAGCTTCATCCGTGTGTGGTTCGTCTTTTCCCCCCCCCCAAAAAACCGTCCCAGGAGCTCAAGCTGCACATGCGGGAGGGTTGCGACCTGCCGCCCGCGGCCGCGGCGGCCATCGCCGCCATGCCCTACCTCACCTCCCTGTCCATCGTCGGAGGCGGCCTAAAGAGCGACGCCGCCGCCACCCTCCTCTCCGGCCTGGCGGCAACCGCCGCCGCCGCCGCGGCATGTGGAGGTGGAGGCGGCGGGCTTCGGTCTCTGACGCTGTTGCCCGCTGTGCCCCATGGCCTAGGAGATTCCGAGATGGCGCTGCTGTCCTCCTGCTGCTCGCTGGAGGTGCTGGAGTTCCGGGCTTACAGGCGGGTATCGACATATATGTCGTGTTTGCCGTATTTGTTGGGAAGCTATGGGTGTTTCAGACCGGGCAGTATGTATGTCGTGACGTAATTTACGGGCATTCCAGGTGATTCACAAATTTTCTTACTTTGGGGCAGGTTGTTAAGTTCTCGCATTACTTATGTGGGCGCTAAGTATCCCGCTCTCTCGCGTCTCCCAGTTTTAAACATTTAAGAGTTGCTGCAGCGCTCCCCTACAGCCCAAACCCTCTCCCCTCCCTTCCCCTCCCCCACCCCACACATACCATGCTCTTGCCTACACGCGACCCAACACACATACACACATACATACATACACACATACATACTCACGTCTGCGCACGCACCTCCCAACAGGCTCACGAGCTCCGGGCTGGCCACCTTGTCCCTGGGTCTGCCCCGCCTCACCCGCCTCGCCATAACCTCCCTGGACTCGGACTCCGGCTACGAGCTGGCTTGCCTGGAGCGACTTGCCCAGCTGGCGGAGCTGGACCTGGCCTTGGACAATGCGCCCACAGGGGCAGCCAGCAGACGGGCGCTGTGCGCGCTGAGGCCGGGCAGGAGCCTGAGCCTGAGCTTCAGATGGACGGATAAGGCGCAGGTGAGTTGGGGAGCTGGGGGTTGGTCAGGGAGTTGGGAACGGGAGCAGCGTGCTGTGCTGTGCTGTGCTGTGGTGTGTTGTGCTGTGCTGTGCAAATCGAAAAGCGTAATTGATTCCAAAACGCTCTTTTCCTCTCGCCCTGCGTGTGCCGTACAGGGCCTCCTGGCGGAGTACGGCAACCGCCTGGCTAATTTGACACACCTGGACGTTGGCGCGTGCAGGTGCGTGCGTACGGATGTACGAATATACCAGTATGCGTGGCAGCCACGGCGCCCGGCCCTAATTAAAGTTCGTTCGTTATACCCCGCTTGCAGCGATGGTTTACAAAAAAACCACGTAAATTTTCACGTAATGCCACCCTCTCCCCTCCCTCCGTTCCCCCCCAAAATCTCCAGGGTGGGTTCTGAGTCTCTGTTCGAGGCGGTTGCCCAGCTCACTGGTCTGCGGGAGCTTCGTATGGCCGTGTACAGCAATGCCGACCACTGCATCCCCTGCCACCTGTCCCGGCTGTCCGCGCTGGGGGCGCTGCAGAGGTTCCATCTGGAGAAGCGCAGGGCGTACTTCCCCGAGGTGTGGAGCATGGTGGTTTGGGTTATCCCGAAGTGGGCCTGTTCCCTACCTGGCCACCCATGGTTGGCTCGGAGGAGTCGCTATAGCCGGGTCCATCATCGCCCATCGACATGGGGGTGCTTCCACCCTCTTAGCTTCACGTAGCCACCCCTAGCTGTCCCTTAAAACGGCACCTCATACAACGAATGCCCCTGCTGCCATGCCCTGCTGCCTTCTACCTTTTATTCGCTGTCACCGTACTGCAACTGCTACAACCCCTCCCCCTGTTCCTCCCCCCCCCCTCCTCAGGCGCGCCGCTTCGGTGAGAGCTCCATCGCGGTCCCCGTAACGGCTGAGGGGCTGAGGTCCCTGGCGGGTCGGTGGAGCAGACTGAGGTCACTGCGACTGGCGCTGAGCCGCAAGGACTACAGCCCCGAGGGTAGGTACACCTGCTCTGTATTGTCCGGCTCAGGTGTTTTAAATAAGGAATATACTGGGGAACGAGGGGGTGTGTGAAAGGGAAGTGGAGGGGGGGAAAGAGAGGGGGGGAAAGAGAGGGGGGAAGAGAAGCGTTAAAGGGACACACGTATGGTTGCATGGAAGTAGGAAATAACCTTGAGAAGACTGGGGATAAGGTACGGGGAATCATGCGGCCATGATTGCATATATTCGTTGTCAGTCTTTTGTTTTTGTTATAACATTTGGCAGTTTTGCACTGTATACTGCCGTCGCCTGCCGACCATGACCGACGCCGCCGCTTCCCCTTCCCTACCATCCCCTTGTCGCACATCGTACTGTTGGCTCTGTCGTACGACTATTGCCGTACGTGTGACAGCGTTGTCGGTTTTGTCGAGCTTCACTGGCTTGCGAGAGCTGGGCATTGTTGTGGAGCGGTACGCGGGGTGTAGCGGCAGCAGCAGCAGCAGCAGCAACTCTCAACACCATCAGCAAGAGCAACAACAACATCAGGAGCAGCAGCAGCAGCCGCAGCAGTACCCAATCCTCGGCAGTAGCCCCGGCGGCAGTAGCGGCCTGGGCTTTGGCCGGCTGTACCGGCGGGCGGTGGAGCTGCCACCGCTTCTAGATCTTTCCTGTCTGCCTTCCGGACTGCAATCCCTGGAGCTAAGCAACCTCCTACTGGATTTCACCGAACCGGCGGCGGCGACGACGTCGGCGGCCCTGCCACCGTCTCCGCCACCGCTGCCGCCACCGCCGCCGCTGTCGCAGCTGTCCTCGTTGGACGTGGATGGCTGTGTGGTGCGGCCCCCGGTGCTGGCGCAGGTCGCTCGCCGTTGCGGGTCTTCGCTGCGGTCGCTGCGGCTGGTGGGGCTGGTGGGACTGTGCAACGGTGTGCTGGCGGAGTGCTTGCCGGTGCTGACCATGCTGCGATCGCTGACTGTGAGCGCGCCGGGGAACAGAGCCGGTGAGTGGTGGAGCAGCTGCTGCATCTGCGTGCTGGGTTGGCGGTCGGTGCAGAGGGGTAGTTGGCGTGGAGGCGCGGGTACAACGGCCCGCTGGTGGCCGAGTTTTGCTATTGCCATGTGTGTTCCTACCCTACCCCCGCTCTCTTTGTACGTTTTGGACAGCGGCAGTTATTTCCTTCTTTCCTTGCATTTGTTTCCCCCCGCCCGAGGTCACGGTCGCCACGGACGCCTTTCGGTCAGTTCTACGTTTGATACTCTCTTGCCCTGGCAGCAGCTTCAATCGTGTGTGGTTCGTCTTTCCCCCCGCCCTCTTTCCCTGGCAGCAGCTTCACTCGCTCGTGGTTCTCGTCTTTCCCCCCCGCCCTCTTTATACTCGTTATCCTTTACATCTTGAATTCGGACCGCCTACGCGCCGCTACCGCTGACATCTTACCCCTTACCCTTACCCTTATCACTACCACTACCACTACCCTCACTCCTGACGCGCAGTGAGCCAGGCCAGCCTTGCCGCCATGTCATCGCCGCCGCCCCCGGCTGGGGACGCACCTCCTCCCTTTCCGTCTCCTCCTCCTCCTCCCCCGGCTGTGATGGCAGTGGGCAGTCCAACCACCGCCGCTTCGTGGCGGTTGCCGCAGCAGCAGCAGCCGCCGCCGCCTCTGCCGTCGCCTTTGTCACCACCGCCGCCGCCGCCGGCTCCCCCGCGCCGGTCCCTGTTGCCGCTGCTTCGCCACCTGACTTGGGAAAGCGATGACCTCACGGCCCGGGGACCCGACCTGGATGCGCTGGCGCCGCTGACCAGCTTGCGGCACCTGTACCTGTCCTGCACCGATAAGACGGCGGAGAGGGCGCTGGGCAGTCTCAGGGCGCTCCAGGTAGGTTTTCAGGAGGGTCTTGCGGTTTTTGAGACCTATAAATTTCATATACCTGTAAAGGGGTTTTAGTACTGTTAGGGGATGCATTTCGAGGGCCGATTCGGTGACTGATGAAACACAACACAAAAAACAACACAAAAAACAACACAAAAAACAACACAAAAAACCACCCCCCCTCCCCGGGCCCCCCCAACTTGACCTGCAGGACGCTCTGCCGTACTGCCACGTGGATATGGTGTGGACGGCAGCGCGACCCACTGGCGACGTGCCGTAAGAAGTGGAACCAGTGAAACGAAAGACAAAGCGGAAATTTAGTTCTAATTGATTCCCGGTTTTATAGGGTCAAAACATGGACCACTGGCGTCCGCTGCTGCTGCTGCTGCTGCTGCTGCTGCTGCTGAGGTTATACTGCTGGGTCGCCTATTCTCGTGGGGCGATATGTGAGGAGCCCGCGACATGTGGGGGTTGGGAAGCGAGCAGGGCCGGAAGGGGAGAGAAGGGTTTTACAGGACCCGGGGGTGGGGGGTGGAGGGAAATGGCGGATACGGATATATATAATGTATATAAATAAGAGGATGAAGGTATCAGGCGGGGTGATACGGAGGTTTAAGGGGAGGAGTGATTGGGGCGAGAGTTGGCGCTAAATTTAGTCGCTTAGGGAATCCGCCTATGGCTGGGGCGTTAGGGAGTGGGGGCTGTGGAGGCAAAGCGCCAAGGGAGTATCGCCGTTATGTGGAGCATGATGGATGGTCTGCACGACACGTACGACACATTTCCGGGAAGCAGTGTTGAGGGGGTAGCCTCTCCCCCTGAGGGATGCCGCCCTGGTGGCGAGGGCGGCGCGCGCTTTGGGATCATCCTTTATGTATCAGTAAGTCGTTATGATGCCGCGAGGGTATGGATTCCGCATGCTGTGACATCATATGTGATTTTATGGATGGGAGAACATGCGGACGTGTATAAAAATGTACAAATTGCGCCATACGTATGTATGTATATATGTATGTATGTATGTATGTATGTGCGCGAGCATGAAGCACAGGCGGGGCCCGGTAAAGCAAGTGGGGTGGCGGGAAGGAGGTGCCGGTGGACAGGTCAAACTTGGCGAGCCTACGTTGCCCGGCCGCGAGCACCGCCACAGGAGTTCTATTACCTGAGGAGTTCTGATGATTTCGGTTGATTACGGTTGCGTTTCGATTCATATCACAGATTAGTGAATGGTGATAGGTAGGCAGGAGGGTAGCTGGCTGGCCGCCTGGTTAATTCTAGCTGGCAAGGTGAAAGGCCTTTAGTGGTCGGGTAATGGTGGTGATGATGTTTTCTTACCTTGTATTTTATGTATTTTCGCGTGTATTTGGTTCCGTTCATTCAGAAATTCCAAAGGGGCCGAGGGAAAGAGAACCCTGACGACTGGAGGAGGCGCTGTTGCGCTGTGAAGGCTGTGAAGGTTGTGTGTGCTCGTCGCGTTTATGCGTTTGCTTTACTTGTGGCGAGAGTAGATTAGGGAACTTTGCGCTTGCAAACATGATGATCAACAAAAGAACGGACTAAAAGAGCGCAAAAAAAGATTTCGCCTGTGTAGCGGTGAGTAGCTGCGCGATTTATGTTATGTTGTGAGAGACGTGTTTGGTGCCAGCTTTGCGTCATTCCCCCCGATGTGTGTGTGTGTGTGTGTATCTTGGGCGCAGAGGAAGCTGGCAGATACTGGCTCACCGCAACACACACACACACACACATACACATACAGACACACAGACACACAGGGCCCCTCCCCTCCTCGCTCCCTCCCTCGCCAAACCAGCCCTGTGCGTGTGTGTGCGTGTATGTATGCGTGTATTCAGGAGGAGTGATGTGGATGACGTTATCGAATTGCCTGGCGTGTTGGCCATCATGGCCGCAACTGACGAGTACTTTTATTCACTGCTGCCGTTGTTTTACTTTATTTACTTAACTGATGGGCTTGCAGCATGTATTGTGTGTTGTATGCTGCTGCTGGTGAGGATAAAATATTATTGTGCGCTGCTTTCGCGATATATTCGTGGCCAAGACATGCGAGAGGAAAAAGCGGCACTGGCAGGTCAGGTCAGAGTAAAACTTAAGGAGGGGACCGGAAAAGGGATGGATAGCAGAAGCGAAAAGCGCTTTTTGACCTACTGCGAAACAAACAGCGAACGTACCGCCCCGTGAGCTCCATCACGTGCCACTTTTTCCCTACCCCGCACCGCTTCCTTCCCATCCCGAGATAGGTAGGTACATATCTCCGCCGTACTGTTCGATCCGTTTGGGTTTGAACCCGTTCCGGCTCGGTGGACTTCCTTTGCCCTTGGCCCTGTAGAGAGACGCGGGACGGTTGATGGACGGTTTGATTACGGTTTTACTAACGGTTTGTGCATAGCCACGTGAGTCCCTTCCTTGGCCCGTACACTCGGTCAATCGCCTTTGTGTTCATATTGTTTGTGTGGGGAAGTGGTATGCTTATGGTAGTGTCGATGATGGTTAGTGTGGTGGTAGTAGTGATATGGGGGCTGTCAGGAAGAAGTGGCTGGGAAAGAGGAAAGCAGCCGAAGGACGTGGCCAGCCAGGTACGGATGCGGCTCCCGAGGGGAAGATAATCATCTCCCCCTCCATTCCCCCCTCCATTCCCCCCTTCATTCATCCCGCCTTACATACACACACCCCGCTATACATCCCTACTTCCAGCGACATCTCCCTCCCTACATACATCCCTCCGTACTGTGCCGTGTTTGGAGCAAAGCAACGAATGTACGAACGAAGAACATCCGGAACCCCCTTTAGGTCGGGTAGAGGGTGTGATTGGCGGTAGCAGCTAGTCACTGCTGGAGGACATCAACATCAACACGATATAGCTAGGGCCGGCGGGCTGCAGCTGGAAAGTGGATGGCAGCAGCAGCAACAGCTGCCGCGCCGATTAAGGCAGACTATGTTCGTAGGGCCTGTGTCGTGGCGTTTGGAGATAGCAATGCTGCGGTTGCGATGGCCGGGGGTGGGCCCGGAGATGGCAATTGTGGTGGTGATGGTGGTACCAGATGATGTGATGGTTTGCGATCGAGTGAAGCGGCCCCGCGGTGGGCACGTTGCGTGGAAATATTGCACGGCGCAGCGACAGCAGATATAGGATCAATCAAGCTGCAGAAGCATGGGTTGGGGGTTCTATCTGCTATGGAATGCCCCGGAAGGGACTCTCTTGCGCACACACGTGTGCGCGCGAGTGTGTTTTCCATCCTCAAGCCGTCATGTTTCCATCCTTGAGAGGTATCTACACACATACACACACACAGCACACACACAAAGTTACAGGCCAGACCAGCCTTGCGCGCCGCTCTAGAGCACCGAACACAGGCACGCACACACACAGACACACAGTGCCTGGATTCCCCAAAGAGGAGGTCATCACCAGTAGTAGTGGTAATGCTGTGCCGTGCCGTGCACCGAAATATCCCCTCAAACGCCCAATCCCCATTTCTGCCGTACCACTGCAGTTTATGCAGCACCCGTCCCTCCTGTTGCCGTACTCACTAATGCTATGCAGTACCTTGCATAACGTGCATGTCGGAGCACCCTCAATCGTAGTCATCAGCCATCCACCGATTGACAGTTTGCGACATTTACGTTGGACCCCGATCGGGTCGAGTGCAACCTAGTGCCGGTTCGCAGGAGCTGGAAAAAACGAGTTAAGTGCACACCGAGGTCCGGAAGGACGAAGACGAAGTTCGGAATACGTTATCCATGGATACTCGTTATTAACGGTGCCTCAAAGATTTGCTGTACTTTTGAAAACTGTGAATGGGCAGACCCACGGGTCGGTAGTCTGTCCATTCAGAGGCGCCAGGATGATGGAAGGGAATAGCTGCCGGGATCATTTGCTCTTTGCACAAGCCTGATTCTCATAGACGTACACATAGTATGCATAGAAAACATCCCCGGGCACACATATTACATACATACCTCGCTAGGCAGGCGGCTGGCAGAGGTTAAGGCCTGACTTCTGCTCCCAGTTGACCCAGTCGACCCGGGTTCAAATCCGCCTGCCGGCTCCTCGGGTGTTTGAGGAGTGATGAAATGGGAGGTGGCCCCCCATCTTATGGACGGTGTAGGACGTGATAATATCAACTTGCGAGCTGACCAGGAACTAAGTTGATGCGCCGTTGATCCGCTAGATTTGGTTGGATGCTGGTGGTGAGTTGCCGAACCCAACGAATACATTCTGAAGTCGGATGGGGTGACGGATTAGGGTGCCCCTCTAGCAGGGGAGAGCAGGGACTGCCCCGGGAAAGGGGGCCGCTGGCGAAGTTAACCACCCTGTAACAACATACATACCTCGCTACTCGTGCACATCAGCTCAACAAAACAGCACAACATCGCAGGCTGCGCCCAGGAGCCCGTGTACAAGCAGCCCTACCAGCAGTCCAGCAGGCCCGACAAAGGGTCGACACAGATCCCGGAGCACAGCAGCCCTTACAGCAACTGGTGGACGCACAGGCGGCACTAGCACGGGCCCACCGAGAGGACTGCAGCAAGGAGGCGATGGAGGCCCGCATACACTGGCTACGGACAGGGGAGCGGCCGAGCCCAGCGATGACTGCGTTCATCCAGGCCCAAAGCGCGGACCAACAACCAGCTCCCGTCGCCCTGCAAGCCCAGTCCGGCCGCCTAGTGACTAATCCTAGCCAGCTTCCCCAGGTGGTCGCAGACTTCTGGAGTGAAGTGAGCCGAGCTCCCAACTACATCTGCCCCCAAGCCCAGCAGGAGGTGCTAAACTCCCTGGCGGCCGCCAACATCTCGCTACCCGCAGAGGCAGATGAACAGCTGGGATCCAGAACCATCACGGCCACCGAGTTACGAAAGGCTCTTAAGAAAAGCCAGCCTGGCAAGGCCCCGGGGTGGGACGGCATCCCAGCCGACATCTACAGGAAATTCTGGTCGGCCATTGGCACCACCATGGCTGGCCTGCTCACCGCCATAGGCTTGACGGGGCAGGTGCCGAAGGGCTTCTTGGAGGGGGTACTGACGGTGATCTACAAAAAAGGCGACCCCAAACTC